TAGGTGGCAAAAGACCTCCTCGTTCTGGCAACGGAACGCCCCATCTTTGCGAGAAAATATTTCCCCATATGAAAATATTTTCCCGGTAAAACAGGAAATAGATTTCTTTTGCAAGGACCTAGGAGCATATTACAGATTTCAGCTGAGGGGCTAAAAAGTTTGAAGGGGGAGGCTAAACATGCTAAAAGCTAAGAGTAAGGCAATTTCTCGTATCGTTCATTTTGGAAATTATTTGGGGGGGGGGGGCTAGACTCCCCTCAGCTGAATCCTGTTAAAAAAAATCTTCATAAAAAGGTGAAGTTGAAAAAAGATTGTCTTCAAAGATTCTAGCTCGAATTTACGATTTGAATGTACAAGAAAAGGGATGTTGTTAACAACACGGAGAGAAATAACTCACTTACGATATCGATTGATGCAATCAAGATGACTCCATAACGAAGTGAGAAGCATCCACAGGACTTTGCGTAGCAAACCATTTTGTCTTCTCAAATTAAAAACAAAATTTAAACGTTAGAAAGGTCGTATGCCGATGCCAAAAAGGCAGCTGTAAATTATACGGTTGTTGAGAACGGCTGTGCAATATGAAGCCAAGTGTGTTTAACTGCAGATGACTGTAAATATCAGTAGCCTGTGGTTTCTATGACAATGAAGTGGAAACAGATTGAATTTCAGAGATGGAGGTGCGGAAACTTTAGAAGCCAACATTTTGCAAGTTAGCTAGAAAGACTATAACCTTGCTCTTCGACATAAAACCTGCTCTCCCCCCCCCACTTTTTAAAATCAAAGACCTTTTTCCAGAATCTTTTGCTTTGAATCTTAAGTTAGCCACTGCCCCTCCTTCATTCCAACATGCCTCAGAGCCCCTGGTCATACAAGTGAAGTTTACACGTTTTATTTGCGAAGACTTCAGAAAGAAAGCTGAAACCTCTTGATAATGATATGACAGCAAACTCATTTTAAACTGGCAAAAACTATTTTCCTACCAAAAACAAACAGGATAACGGTGCAAGAATTTAATTTCTGTCCTATAAAATCTCGCATGATTTAATTTGTTGGGCTACTGCAAAAAACAGTGGTTTTTAAATGGTTGTGTATTCCAACATTCCAAAGGATGTGGTATGCGGTCACAAACGTTTTCTCAACTTAGGCTTGTCCTGTCTTCTGTGTTCTGGGACAGAGCTCGTTAGCCTGACAAGGAGTCATTACGTGCTTTTAGATCTCAGAAAATTCACAGCAGATTCACTACTCAAAGGAATAAGGCTGGAGAGACAAGTTTTAATGAACTGATAAATTTTCTTCCTGTTCGGTGGCATTCTAAATTGTTTAATGTCCCTATACATTCTTAATATCTCAATACGTGGTACATCTAGTTATTGCTATCACTGGCCAAGCAACCAAGCCTTGTTGTTTACAGACAGATAGGGCACACCATTTCACGTGACAGTTCCTTAACAAGGAGGGCGTTCTAGCAACAGATTTGATTTGTGTAGCAACAATTAATATGAAAAACGGTATGTCAATTCAATGTTTTGTCACCAATGGCACACTAAGAAGGAGACACTTGTTTTTATGCAAAAATTCCTTAGGTTATATAGGGACGGTCAGGGGTTGGGATCGGTTGGTATAACTTGTTACTGAACAGATATCTATGACAGAATGGCAAGAGGTATGGCAGATACTTCGTAGCAAAACCTATTGGAAGCGCAACCAAACCAGAAAAGAGAAAAGATGAATGGGAGATTTGTTGAAAAGCTTAGTGAAACTTGATCAAAGTAGCTTGGATTCTCTCGTCTAAGCTTGCAGTGTCAGAAAAGAATTGGAGAGTAAACAACATGAATACGATGGGTCTTCTTTGTGCGCACCATGCTCAAGATATGAATACATTGCTGAAACGTAAAACGGTTCTAGAGTTGTAAAGCTACAAGTAGTACATCTCAAATATTGACTTAAAGTCTGGGTTATACTAGCCACTTTAGGGGAGTGTAAGGGTCTGCGAATCTGCGGATTGATAGCATGTTTGTTCGCGGAATATGGTTTTCTGATTGTTTAAACGGATTTTTGGATACAGGGATTCTTGCGGATGTCGGATTTCGGAGTGGATTCTGGGTTGTCTGTCTAGTACAATTTTAAAAAAACACTAGTTGGTTTTTGCACGAAGAAACGGAGTCTATTGTTACCTTCTGCCATCGCTTGTAACGTGAAGAAACAACTGCTCATTTGATGGGAAAATTTTACAGGCTGGCGGATTATGCAATAAAAAATTGCGAATTCTCGGATTATGCGATAAGAAGTAATGAATTTGCAGATTTCGCTACCCCTCTACACCCCCTCTACTATTTATATATATATTAAATCCTTCCTTTCCTCGGTTACCCGAAAAACCTTCTAACAAATTAAAAACCCTCAATCACTGATAAAAAGATAAAATAACATGCCTGAACAATAGAAAAGTAATCTTGGTATCCAAATGTATTGAGATCTTTATGATACTATGAAGTCATCTCTTTAAAGCTAACTGTCATATTACTGTTTACTTCTTTTCAAAATGTTTCACAGTTATCATCATTCTGTGTTTTAAGAACATCGTGTTCAGCAGGCATTTCACCACCAAGTATTCCAAGCAGCTTATAATATGAATAAACAAACCACATGCAGCAAACAAGGTATACAGCAAAGACCAAAATTATTAGGATTTCAATCCACGAAAAAACTGCTTTAAGCGCCATTACAACTGTCACAATGATCATTACAACCACTGACCCACCAGTCCATCCAACCCAAGCAAGCAAGACTTTTCTGTACTTTGGTTGATTCATAACAGCAACAGCGATCATGGCGATGGCAAAAAGTATGGCCACAACTTCTAACAGGATGATTACAATACTTAATGCTTGAGCCTGAAATCTCTGGTGCCTTCTATGATCCGATTTTGCTGTTCTGTTATCATTTGTGCCAGTTTGATTGGAATGATGGCCCTTACTGCCTCCTTCCCTTGCTTCTCTTGTCGTGTCCATTGCTGTAGTTGATAGCAGATAGACAGAGAGTATCTGAAAAGATTGAGTTGTAAATAAAACAACTTTATGCTTTTCAAAAGGGATGTGCTCATAAAATTGAGGGGTAAGGTGATACGTATTCTACAACAGTGGGGCAACATTAGGCTAGTTTCATGGTGAAGAAGGACTTAACTACCTGAGTCAATTTCATCATATCAATGAGGATTGCACTTTGGTTCCAACTTAGAAGCTCAAGAATGATAAGAAAATGGTACTGGAAGCACTAATGAAGTGAATTACCGTAAATCCTCGAATTGCCTCCCCCCCTCGAAAAAGCCCCCCACCCCTCGAAAAAGCCCCCCACGTCGAATAATCCCCAACCCTTGAACTAAAAATTGTCAATAAGCCCCCCCTCGAAATGCCCCCACTGCTACCGTAAATTCTCGAATTGGACCCCTCTTTTTGATGATTGTTGCCTATATGATGTTTTATTGAATTACCACAACAAATTCATACTTTTGGTAGTAATCAATTAAATGTTCATAAAGAAGTTCCCACTAAAATGAACGAGGTCTTTTAATAATGTGTACTTAATGTCTACAATAATTTCATAAGCCCCCCCCCTCGTATAAGCCTCCCCCTCGAATAGGCCCCCATCCAAAAATTTTGAAAATAAATAAGCCCCTAGGGAGCTAATTCAATGATTTACGGTATGTTTACTTAATTAGGAAAACCTAAAAACAGTGGCGGTGTAATATGCGTTTTGGTACTCTATGCAAAAGTGTAACATTGTGAAATTTGGAATGTAAGAATCCTTTTCAATATTTTAAAGATTGAAATGAAACAAAAAATAAGGAAAGTGCAAACTCAAAAGCTTGGTTTTTTATAAAGAATTGAAATAAAGACTCAGACTGGCCCTTGATCCAAACAACTGCAATAACAATGGCGTACTTACAGACAACAAAAGAGGCCCTTTTTTCTATTCCATACCCAGACAATAATACCCTTGGGAAAGATTCTCTTGAGATCGCTTGCAGTAGTCATGTAGTAGTGCTTCAAAATAATTGTTAAAATACCCTTCTAACCAATGGTGACAGGATTAACATTTTCAGATATGTCCGTATTTTTGTTGGCAACAAACCCTCGTGTTTGTCAAAGCGCGCGCCAATTAACAACACAGGTAGGGCCTAATTCCTATGAACTAACCATCGCGATGGATCTGCACAAACATTAGGTACTGCAATTTCTCGAACCCAAAGTTTCTTCACTTTGGACGGCCTTTTATGGTGTATGATATTCTGTTTAAATCTCTTTTTTAAGTTGGGCACTTTAGCAAGACCCAGGTAAACGAGCGGGTGTATGAGAGCAATTCTGTTATCAACACAATTCAAAAAACTGACTTACGATATCGATTAATGCAATCATAATGACTCCATAACGAAGTGAGAAGCATCCACAGGCTTTGGCGTAGCGAACCATTTTCTACTCAATTTAAAGAGAAATCGTAAACCTTTGCTGCGTGCACGTTGGTCGTTCGTACCGCTCTCTCTGCGTTGTCTAGTGTCAAGTTACTAGTGTCACAGAGTGCCCACCTGGCAGTTTTCAGGAAGGAATTTTCCAAATCCTTTGGTTCCTAATTTAATGCCTGCGCCAACGTCATAGAATAGAGAAAAAGGTATCGTTTTCAAACCTTCTTAAATTTCAATTGTAAGCGGGCAATAAAAAGCGGAATTGGACCCAAAAGCGACAGAACAGCGGGAATGTGCCTCCCAAAGAAAATATCATGACCCTTTCAAGGAACAAATTTCTGGATAGATTTCGTTCTGCAAAATGAGTCTGAAAACATGACAAATGTCCTGGCAAGAGTTCCCATGGAAAATGACGTTAAAAAATCTTTACTATCGAAACTGTAAGCTAATTTCAGTAGCCCACCCAAAAAATTTTGAAGATAGCAAGGGAATGCAACAACATAGCAATGCTGATTTTCAAGGAAGGAACACTCCGCTATAAAAACTTACAAAAAATATCATGCTAAAAAAAATAAACTTAACTACGATTCAATATCATAAAACCCACTTCATTAGTTTTAAATGAGTAGCTAAAATAAACATCTACGATAAAAAACCAAAATGGCAAAGACCTATTTACAATTAAATATTACACATTTTAAAGCTGATCAGGGAATCTGTCTGCATTATTTAGCTAACAGGCCACTCCAAGACATAACAGCTCTGAAGAAGTTGCATTTCTGTACATTTATTGGAGCTTTTCTTAGGAATGGTTTCTAGGTCAGTTGATGTATTCATAAAATTCATATAGCTGGCATGTTTTGAGGATCCAGCGCGTAAGAGACCTGCAGAGCATGATGTTGGACTCATTAGTGATTAGCTCATCTGAATATGATGGTAAGTCGGTGCTTTAAAGATACACTTTATGCGTTTTGTGGAAATTAAGAGCCTTTGTCAACAACCCCTTCACAAGACCATCAACAGGGATCCTACACAAGTTCAAGAATTGCTTAAAGGCCACAGAGAAACAAATGCCATGTTCATTTTAAAGGCGTACAGAGATACACTTAATTTCTGGACAGCACGTGGAGGTGGTCGATATAAATGAGGAATAGTATGGGTTCAAGACATGAGCGTTGAGGTAAACCAACTTTTTTAATTGATGAGTCAATACTTTTTACCTTATCAAAGAGCCTAAAAAAAAACCGGGAAGAAAGTATTGTAGACCGATGCGGTGGCAAGGAATGTGTGGATGCGGGAAGGGGAAGGGAAGAGACTCCTTTTTCCATCCTAGCTCAAATGAATTTTTCTGTGACTGTTTTCAAAGTATAATTCTGGAACTAAATTGTTGGGACTCTGGCACCCAGGGTATCGAGAGAAAACACCGGATAACATCGGCACAGCGCAGGTGACTCTCAAATATCGTAAAATATACATTATACTGTTCACATTGTCAAATGTCTAATTTTTATAGTTGCAAGACCTCCACTCAATTTGTCTTTGGTGCGCTTAAACTGCTTAATTGTTCATCAAATATATTATTCTCATGTGATGTATTGAACAAATATTCCAATGGCAGAAAACAACGCCATTCCCCAAAACTCTTGATGGATTTAGTCTTGGCAATTACATTCCCGACCTCTCACCCTGCATGCATTGTAGGTGTAAGCTTAGGTTTTTATCAGACCAATTTTCCTTTGTTTTGGACTCAGAAATTACATTCGGTTCTAAGTTGCAACTCGGAGGTTTACTGTTCAGTTACCTCCTAGCACATGAAGCTTATACCTCGGCGTTGCAACTTGGAACCGCCCTGCTGCGTCCACTATGGTACCAAAAGCGTGTATTTTAAGACATAATCTGATGGCAGCACTGATTGGCGGAGAAAGAAGGAAAAAAGTGCACCGAGCTATAAATTTTTCTCATTCACATAATATCTACAGTCCTAGAAATCACAAATGCAGCTTTTAAATACGTGAATTAAATAATGACGTATAGTATATTTGACAGGACTAATGGGGGAATCAGCACCCCGTGAACCAAAGAATGGGCATGGGGATAGAGGGCAACACTCTAATATGCTGAAAAAGCAGCCAAAATTCCAGCAAAATCGTGCACAATCTGAGGTCCCTGGGATTTTGCATTAACTACGAAAGATGCAAGTTGACAACTTTATAGCTTAAAACACCAAAAAGTAAAAAAGTCTTCGCAAGGATATCGCAGTATTAAGAAAATTCAGCTTTACACGTTAGGTTGAGAATGTCATTTTGATTCGTCTGGTCATTATCGTATTTCTACGTAACGGTCGTCAATTGGTTGAAAACAAAAAGCAAATTAAACGCACCGTATTTTGGAATAAACGGCCCTTTACAATTGAAGAATTTTTTTATCAATTTAGTGGCCTTTCGTTAGTGAGAGTTCCTAGGTTACAGCAGCTATCCCTAACTATTTCACAAAGCTTTTGGTAAAAAGATCTGCAATCAAGATTAAAGGTAAAATAAACGAAGATTGGGCTACGGTCTTACTTCTGTTCTTCTTGTTAATTGTATGCCTACCCTACTTCCAAAAAAAACGTTCAGCAAAAATTTTTCATGGTCTCTTTAAAGACAGAGCTTTACAGACATCGTTGCATTTTGGGTGCTGTGATGCCCAGAATTCGCTAAACCCATCAAGACCTCTGTTTGCTGAGCCAAAACCCTTTTTGTCCGGGGTGTGAATCTGTGGATCGGTGAGAAATGTCACACCAGAATTGTCATCACTTGTCCATCCTTGAATGTCAACTATCAGCATCTTTCCATTTGAGATGCAGTAGGAAAAATGACTGAAAGCCAACAGCAGCTCTTTGCCTTGGATATTATCCTTAATCACCCATTTAAAATTGTTTGTAATTTTGGTGAAACTTCCAGCCATATATGGCTCAACATTGAAATATCTCTCTGGGTCGCTATCAACATCCGAAAGCTCAACAACTACAGCGGGTAGGAATTGCACTTGACTCAATAATAAACCTAGAGATAAATGAAACGTAATTTGTAGTTATTTGATAAGTATTTACTCACAACACGAAACAACACGAGAATTCATAACAGAGGAATTTCGATTTTGACGCATTCTCGATCTCATTTAATTCCTTTTCATCAAATCCCATATCCTGTCACACATTTCAGATCTCATTTTTTCTGATCTCCCTGTCTCATTTTATCTAAAATGTTTTTAAAATTCATTCCATACAATCTCATCTACACAATCTTCAGAAATCTTATTTCAAATCTTTTGATCTCATGTAATCTAACTCATTTGTCACGTCCCACCTCATCTAACACATCTCCCAAAACTAATTTCGACCTGCCTAGCCTAACCTCATCTCATTTCATCTCTTGTCGATTCATAAACAAAATCTTCCGGATCTTTTATCGACTTTTCACGCTCAGCTCCACAAACTCACCTCATCAAAGTTCTTTTCAAATCCTCTCATCTCATCTCGTCTCAACTCGTCTCAACTCATCCCATTGTATCTCCACATTTCATCTCTTGTAACTTTATCCCATTCACCTGATCTTATTCTTCATTTCGGGCCATCGAGAATTATGGGCAAGATTTCGCGTTTGATCTTACAAACATTTTGTCGTACCGTGACACTGAAATAGCTATCCACGAAAAATATTTTTGCTTTCCATTACGGTTTACATCACTAAAATTGTTAAGGACATGAATTTCAAATAATATTTCAAAACATTAAAACTTAGCAGTCATTTAACATCTACCGCTTATCTGTTATCAAATATATCAACAAGATTTTTATATGGAAATACAATGATTGGTAGAAAGTTTTAATCTAGAGGCCTTATGTTAAACAGTGTTGGTTTGTTCGGGATTCGAGATTCCTTTGTATCGAAACAATACCGTCTTTAACCAATCAGTGTTGCGGGGTCATAGCACATGCGCATTAATAACAGTATTCGCACAGCTGTTCTGTCTGCGACCACACAATTCTTGAACATCCTGCCAGGGCTTCAAGTGATAATGCGCATGTGCAATGACCCCGAAACTGGGGGCTAGTGCATGTCTGGAAGACGGGCATGATTCATCTCCCGAACAATGTTTCTTATGTTGTTGGTTTCTGCAGTTTTCAACTCCCCCGAAGCCCCTCCTTCATTCGCTTGGCTATCAAAATCAGATATTATAGGCTGGGAAATAGAAAAAGCCTGCACAAAACAAGCGACTCAGACCGATCTAGACGAATCAATAACTCTACTGCATCGAAAACAAGAACCAAGTTTTAAGATAGCACAGAGTAATAGAAAACTATCAAAAAGGCAGATGACCCAAAGGATGGTCAGAGACAATGGACTAGAAATATTCAAGTTGCAATCCCAAGAATAGGCTTTTTAATTGTTCTTTTTGATAAGATTTTTGAAAATTTCAGCTGATTACATATCAGGATCGTTACCTTTCTGATAAATTTTTTGATTGAACTTGGTGGCATAATATCGAGATGTAACTTGGCATATCACATCCTGTTTGTACTGCTGCATGGACTTCGGCCTGTCTTTGTACTTCTCGATCTTATACTGCTTACCAACATATCTAGTGGAATGAAAATGTTCACAAGAGTAAAATTTTTGTTAATATCCAAGAGAGCATATATTTGCCGGCATTAGTAAATGTACAGTGGGCGTGGCGGTTCATGGATATAAGTGTTGTGTTCAATGGTCAAAATCAAATGCGCTATCACGTGAATACTGCTCTGAGAAGCGCAATTTATCACAGCACATATCCTCTCTACATTTTCTGCAACAAATAAATCCTATGTTGGTAGAAGTAGCAGTTTTCATAGAAAAATGTCCCCTTTGCGTGGCCATTTAATCTACTAAATAATTAATAATCATTAAGGTTGAAATAACAAATTTGCTTTCATTTTTGCTTAAGTTCAACAAGCTAGTGCTCCTACAAAATGATTGACTTTTCAGAAAATAAATCTAATCTCTACCAGGTGTGCCGTAGAAGGGAGGCTCAGCCACCCCCTTGACAATCAAGTATATTTTTGGTTGGGAGAACTGATCACCTGACAATGTGAAGGAACCTTTTATTATGCCTTGAATGAGCAGTTTCTGTCTTCCTTTTTGAGTCGCTGAATAGTTTGAATATCTTCAATACTAATGCAAGTATACTTGGTTTGACCATGAATATGGTCTTCTAAAAATTACCTATAATAATATGGTCCTACACCACAGACCCCCTCCTATCTTTTTTAAAAGGCCCCCCTGCTCCCTACCTGTAATCAATATTCGTCAAATGACCTTTGTCATTAAATTTTATTTACCGATATCCTTAAAACAGTCTTGTGATACATGTGACGTGTAAAACTCATAATCAGGTCTGACTGTTTGCAGGGCCGTAGCTACTATAGCTATTGGGGGACTTGGGGCCTCCAAAAGTAATGAAAGACCTTTGTTTCTCATGAACAATCCTTTTTGTTCTTATTGTTCCCAAACATTAGTGCCTCTCAATACCCTTCCTACGGTACTGTTGCTTGTGACAAAATATGACTTGAAACATTTTAGCTAGTGACTATAATATCTATTGGATCAAGGAACACGATTTGCGACAGGCTCATTTATAGAACGCTGATTCATAAATAGAACAAAAATGCTGGCTAAGCTGCGAATTCAGAAATGAGCTGTAAAAACAATAAACCAGGGCATTAACTGTCTTGATATGATATGCTTCACAAAAACGATTCTCTAAATAAACGTCATAAGTGTGTTTAACGTGATAGATACCTGCCAAATGGTTCCTCTTGGTTCAAGTACTCAACCATGTATGCATCCCTGCAGGCACCTTCCTTTTCCCCTAGAACCAGTTTATTGCCAATATATGCCAAGGTTTCCATTGAAAACCATTTCATCGCTATTGAATCATAACGCCAAACTACAGCATCTACAATTTCAAGGTTAATCGTTACAATTGTTACAGTTGAGACTGCTAGAAAAGGGGTAAAATCCTATCAGTGAAAAAATGACATTCGAAGATAGATAGGCAGACAATCAGTAAGAAAATGTTTAACTTTTCTTCTTTCATTTGGCAGAATCAATCAAAAATGCACATCCAAGACAAGTTATAAAGTTTGCGCACTCTGAAAAAGAGGGGGCTCAAGTTTTTCCTTGGAATTTTTGAGCAAAACCCTCGGCAGTTTTTACATTTAAAATTATTTTTGGAAATGGCAGAAAGGGCAATATATTGTCTCTGTTGATAAAAACAGCAAATATTTCTTTCAAATTATATAAAGATAATGATTTTTCCTAGACAATGATAAATTCTTATTGTTAAGATCGACATTTTTTCATGAACATTGTGCAAGTGACTCGTATCAAACGTTTCATTTTTTGTTTTGAACAATTCCTTAAGAACTGAACATTGGCGTCTTTGGTAGAGGCACTTGATCGAGGTTTAGCATTTTTCTTGAATACAAATTCCTACTTCGAGGACCTGATTTCGTCAAATTTACAATTTTGGCTTCAGTTTCATATTGATAATTCTCATTAGATAAACATCCTTAATATATAAGTAAATATAAACAAACGCAACGTAGAATACAACAGTGTTATAACTAAATAACTACACAATTCTATTTTTGGAGGTACAGAACTGAAAATGGTTTGAAAACAGGAAATATTTCAAAACAAAAATGCTTTTTGAAACATTTACTTTCTAAAGTAGATAACTATAAATAATATTAGGGTTGATATTAGCACTGAGGGAATCATTTACTTCGAAGCTAAAAAGCATCATTTATTAACAGTATTATAAAATGCATACTTTCGAGAAACTTAAATCTTTATCGTTAGCCGTTATCTCTATTATAAATATTGGATTCAATGATCAAATAACAAGTTTGAAAACTCACCATGAACCTTTGGTTGCGATTGATTAATTATGTTCAGAGCATCCTCGATTTGAAGCTGATCTCTCTCGCACGTAGCCATGTGATCGTCAATAGTTGCTAGAGTTGTCCTCAGCCTCATTTTAAAATCTTCCGTTGTTGTAAAATCTTCTTCAGTCAAATATGTAGCCTCGTTTTGTATGTCAGCCATGCCTGAATCTTCGCCAGATCCTGCACTTTCTTCGTTTTCTACACCACGTGGCTCCTCAATTCCATCGTCTGTCTGCATCGATGAAGCAGTAGTGGCATTGCGGAATTGCTCGGCATCATCTCTATCAACTACGACGAACTCTTTAAATGCATCAACAACAACGTCTGTTTCTGAGGCAGTGGTGGCATTTCGTAACTGAGATTCATAGCCCCCGTCTGCTGTCTCCAAATCTTCTTCTGTTTTAGCAGTATTATACGACCTGGAAAAACCTTTTGCATCGGTGCCGGATGCATCGTTGGTGGCACCAAGCTCTTCCGTATCTTCTGTCATTAGAGTTGCTTGGTCTTGAAATCCAACTCGTTCAATATGACTTGTTTGCTCAGAAAATCCAACACCTATGGATGAAAAGTTTTCTTCTTTGAGATGTTTTCGATCAGCTTGTTTAGGTGACTTTGGCTCTGCTTCCTCTGTGCTTCCATCGTGTCCCATTCTTGACTTTGGTTGGTCCTTACTGAGTGATCTCTCTTTCGTTTCAGATTCTTCGCGATTCACTTTACTTTGTTCGGGCACCTTTTCCGGCAAATTTTTCTGAAGAGAGATTTCCTGTAGTGGGATCTTGGGCAAGTTCAGCATTGCCATAATTGACTGTATGAACATAATAGATTGTTTATCATGTTGGACTCTCGCGGGGAAAGAACAGTAGCGTTCATAGAGTTTCTTTGACAACGACATAAGAGCAGTCCCTGTATTCTTCAAAGACACCTTCAGGCTCATCTCTAATTGCAATTTCTTCAGCTCATTCACTACCTGCGCCAATTTGTAGGCGCAAAACACAAACTCATAAAACTGCTCTCGGCTTTCAAGGCTTGCAATGCTGGTATGACATTGTAGGCCTGACATAAGCTCGGTTGCTGCACATTGCAAATAATACAACTGTTCTTGAGAATATGCCGGAAGTGTTCTTGAAAATATGTACATCAGCTCTCCAGCACGCCTCTAAATAACATAAATATTTTCAACTTTTAAGGAAGAGAAACATTAATGTGTTATGCATCGAATTACAAAAGACAAATAAGCTTACAACATAATTTAAAATTTTCACGTGAAAGCGCTAGAAATAAATTCTTTGTGAACAGTTTTTTGCGGTACAGAACTTGAAAGTGGCTTTGTAATAAGCAAACATTTTATAACATATTGGCTAAAAGCTTTTTCGTCTGACACTCCTCAGAGCATTAAACGTCAGAATAAGGTTCCGAAAGAACACGATGAAAAATAAATACCCAGTTGTGGATCGAAATAGGCTAAACAGAAAAACGCAAGCACAAGACCGGTATAGTTCTCCAATCAGTGCCGCGAGCCTTAAGAAAAATTATCACTGGAGTTCAAGAAAATAAATTCTTGGTTGAGAATCATGAAATCTATTTGCCATAAAACATTTTCATAAAGTATATTTATAACAAAGAACCCTACCGAGAAGTCTTTCACATTCAAGCCATATTTTGATCATAACTATGGACTTGAACAGCTTTTGGCTCACTTTGGCTCTCAAATAAAGCTTATGGAATTCCTGAGATAGCTATCAAGTATTCAAGGTATCAAGTAAAGTCTGTATACCTTATTTTTTGCGTAGAACAATGGCGAATAGATTGACAAATCTGCAGCCTCGTTGACACATTTGATAGCCTCTAAGACTGGATGTGATGAAGAGAGGCCAAATTTCATTTTCATTTGCTCCGTGTAGTCTTTCAGAGGCATGTATTGGTAGGCATCAGCCAAGAGAGACAAACTTGATGCCCAGCCCTTTATATCAGCTTTGGGTAACGTCTTGAATCCAATGATCGATTTGATGAGGTCTTTTGCTGCTTCAACCCATAGACCCAATCCTCTGTAAATATCTCCTTTGATTTGCACGCAGACTGACGAAACAAGCTTGTAGTCCGATGTTGACTTATAAACCCAACGTCCAACACCTTGTCCACTTTGCATTAATGAATTTAAGACCTTGTCTGCACCTATATGCATAAGAATACATTATCCTACAATACATGCATTCTGTATACTAAAAACCACAATACTTTTAAGTAAATTTTAAAATGTTTTTTGTGCAATCTTGTGGACTTCTCTGGTTTCGAAGACTGGTTGTTCTTAGTGGTCCTCGATATCGTTAAGAGACTCTCTTGACTAAATAGTACTGCAGAGTTAATTGTCTTTATAACATGTTCTTCGATTTGACTGAGCTTAATTTAGCTGTATCCTAAGACTGTGATTAGGCTTGGGGCTGGCAGCCAGCCTTTTTTTGTTCGAGCCTCTGGCTATGGTATCCTCTTTATTCAGGATCGATGTATTTGTAGTAGGCTAGCTCTTCTTCTTCATGTTTTCTTCTTCAGGTTTGGTAAAAAAGAAGCTGCCTTCTGGCAATGCTTGTCTGCAGAGAATGCTTTAGCAACCTTAGGCTAATACTAACCTGAATCAGCAAACAATGAAATCTAAAAGTTTCTGTAGTAAAATCTAAAAGTTTCTAACACAAAATAAAATGTTTCTTGAATAGTGGAGATTCCTGATAATGTCATTGAAAACAGACCTTTAGACACCCATCATAATACCCCTATCACGCTAATATGAGCAGACCTGGCCATAGCTCTTGCTCCCCTCCAGGCTCTCCTCAAACGCTGGAGGGGAGCTAGAGATTGCTCTCCTAAATTGTTCTTAAAAGCAAATTTGCTCTCCTTGAAATCAATTGTTCCTTTGTTTCTATTTTTATAGCTCACCTGAATACTACTAGGAGAGCTGTTTACTGCTCCCCTGTTAAAAGTCTTACGGCCAGGCCTGTATGAGCCGATACATTCAGAAAATAATCAAAGTTTACCTTGAATGTCTCCCTCGTTCTTCATTATGCGTGCTTTTCTTATGACAATTTGTGGCGGGATTGCTGTGCCAATGCTGTTTCTTTGAATATAATCTGTCAGGTTAATCAAGTACTTCGATGACCCTTGCCAATAGATAAAACGATCCATGATAAACAATATGGCCGCTGCAGAACTGTAATTCTTGTCAACCAGGGCACTGTACAGGCATTCCTGTTTGAAAAAAGTATTGGTCAGTAATTCGAGCGACATTGGGCAAATCTATACCGACAAAGTTCCTTTTTCATTACGAATATTTTATATATATAATAATAACCGTAGTTTTAACCTCAGATAACAGAAAATCTGGAAAATTTGTAGAAATTGTGTGTTGTGGCCAATAATCATTGTCAAACATAGGGGCAAGGAATAAGATGCCGTTATACTCCCTTTGGCAAAAATTGAGGGGGTATACCCCCAGTACACATTCTTCCACATCACTTCATCCGTCTAGTTTCATGGTTATACCTATTGGCTTTTCTCTTCCGAAAACATGTATCAGGAATCAGAAGGGAATTTCTGTTGAGGGTTTATATGTTATCAACTAACCCTATTTTTTAGTAAGGGAGCCCGTGATCAGCCTCGATATAAGTTGCTTCTCGCTTCCTTTGCTAACTCATGAAATGATTCGTTTGACTACTCAAACAGACGAAAGGTTTTCAAGAGTTGCATCCCCGGATGTTACATTTTAATGATTCCAGGGGTTGAGATTGATACAAATGGGGCCCAGTTATGCAAGATGTGTATCAATGACGGCCATACTTACCAAGTTCTTGCAACTAAGGGCCTTGAACATGAATTGGCATGAACCATTGAGGCAACCTACGCCTACTATATAAAAGTGGGTATTTGGCACCCAATGACCTTCCCCGCCTATGTGTTAGGAAAATGCTAAAAAGTGGGGGTAATACTAAAGGTGTTTTTACAAGAAGCATTGTTGCATCTTTGTACCATTGCAATATTTTGAAAATTCAGTGTTCAAATCCATTCAAATCAAAAGAGAAAATTCTAGATGAGAAATTCGATCTTGTATTTATCAAAAGGTGTTCATAGTTCTATCACATTCTTTACCCATCCTTTGCTTCCCCTAGCTAGCTTGCATGCAGCTCCTACTGTTTTGATCACATCATTGAATTAAATTGTTGAATGATGCAAACAATTCAGTTCAATAATGGGATCAACATTGTGAGGGCCCCATAAAGGCTACTACAGTGGCAGACAAAAGGTAAGCCCCTAAATTTAAAGTTTACATAGCCTTGTGTAAAGCACAAAAAATTAACCTGGAGTATCTCAATCTCCTCAAAGTCAGCAAATTTATTTCTTTGATGAATGATGTCCTTGAGGTTATATCTTTCTTGCTCTGTAATCACAGCTTTGTACTGCCTAATCAAAAGAAATATTCTTAAAACATCTTTCAGAACTTATACATAACGATGCATCCAAGTAACAATGTCTTGCTGACCTAGGTATGATTTATGGCTCAGTTATTTCTGTGACAATAAATATAAACAATCATGCTATAAAGTGATCTATTGAATTACAAAAATTATTTGCTCACTGTTATAGGGAAATGCTACACTGAAATGGCAACCGTAATTCTTGTAGACATTTGGGCTCATTCCTTGAAAACATTTTTCTAAATTTAGACCAATTCATAAATTCTAATATTTTGAATATTACAGAAGCTCTGAAAAGAACACTGATTTCCTATTAGTAGGGCTTACCAAGCTTCAGGCACAAATGGCCATGAATGATCTTCCGCCTTTTTGATCAAATCTTTGAGAATATCAGGAAGCAAAAGCATCCAGAGAAAGAGCATGTCAGGCCTTTCAGGATTTCCATCATCACCATATTGGCATTCTAGTTTAAGTGCTCTGATAATCTGTTTAACACTGTTCAGGGATTGGATGGCAAATTTTTTGCTTGCTGTTTGGATCTTCTGGCAAACTCCAAGCTCAACTAAATTTTTGAACATATTTTTGTCAGCAATTGGCAAAGGCACTCTTATTGCTGAGATACTAAGAAGCAGTTGTTGATCAAACAATGTCAGATGGCTAAACAGTCTTGAGAAGAAACACTCAATCATTTTATTGCAAGAGGTTTTCTCTGAACAAAACTCCATGACTTCCTGCTCTTCCTCAAGATTCAAGATTCCTTGATTGATTGCCAGGATAAAAATTTTGCCATAAAGTGGCCCAAGTTTTCTTGCTAGGCTACTTAGCTTTTCCTTTTCTTTACCACCATACTGTAGCAGGAGCTGTTTATAGAAATCAGCATCTACATCTGCTTGATTTCTGCAAGGTATTTCATAAACACTGCAATTTGAGAACTTGTCTTTGGCAAAGTGAATGCAAGAAAAGCAAATTATCAAATCTTTGTTTGCAATTTCATTCAGAAATGCAAAGTCGAAGAAATCACTAGCATCTGCGTCATCTAAGATAAGTAACTTGCAATAAAAAAGCACTTTGAAAGCTGCTTCTAGTCTTCTTCTGAGTTCTAAATGTGTTTTTCGCAACATTTGCTGTTCCAGTTGAAGTCCGTGTACTTCTGCCTTCTGGGCAAAGAAGCCAAAAATAGTTTCCATTGAAGAATTCTGATCAAAATTTAGAGCCCAGACTTCATTTTGCGTTATACCTCCTCTTTTAGTGACTTCATCAGCAATCTGATTCAACAAAGTAGTTTTTCCAAATCCATAACTACTTTTTATGACAACAAACTTGTCATCTTCATCTTTTTCTTTAAGTTGCAAGATTTTGTTGCAGATTTCCGAAGCCAGCACCAGCCTATCACCAGCAGGAATACAAGACGTGTTTTGGTTGATTTCGTTTGTATTCAAGGCCCGAATCGGTAACAGTTTAGATATCTCGGCTCTTCTTTGGGAGCTCGTTTGTTGGCTTTCCTCCATCGTGGGCATTGGAATATCGCCCCTACTTCCAGGGCCCTCCAGGAATTTTTCTAAACTGAAAGTGAAACAAAATTATCTTTGATTTTAAATCTAACCAAACTCAGCCAGGCTTCCGGGTTTTTACACAGAAGTCTCGTTTTCATGTAATTCCGAGAGATCTCCAAATTGGCTGCGAAGGAGACGTACATCTGGCACGTCATAGGGGAAACAATGCAAAAGCGAAATGGTCAGCAGGTAATTTAACTCGAAGATTTGGTAGGAAATCAATTGAAACAGCCACGATAGAAGAAACAGTTTGTCCGTAAAATGGAGTATGTTTATGAGATTGACCCGAGGTAAGTTTAAATGGAAATAAATAGCTAAATTCTCATATGTTTTGATACTATAAAATCATCATCTGAAGAACATTCTTTTAGGCCAAAACCGTCAAAAATGTGATATTTGAAGCGTACAAGTCGATATCTATCAACCTGATTTCAAAAAAAGTTTTAATATTTCCTATATTTTTGTCTTCCTCTTCCATTTGAGATCGTGAATTTGTAAATACGTGAAAAGGTTTCTGTTAGAATTGTGACTTAGTTTGATGTTCCTTTTGAATTTTATGGTAATCATGCCAACTTGAAGATTGCAACAAAAATTTTGCAACATTTCTATTAAAGGCTCTAAGGACTTCTGAATTAAAGGTTGGCAAAAGGTAGATGAACTTGTTATATTAAGCTCACTGCAAGAAAAATATATGACAGAAAACAGATGCGAAAGGGCACAGGGCCTAGATAAAGTTGGCCAGAAAAAAAACACAGGCTTGACAGATAATTCAGCAATACCTTTTAAATACAATGCCTAAAATTTATTCTTGAATTGTTTGTTGCTAGAATAGGTTTGCATAAACTTGCTTATCACTTTTAAATTTTCTGATATCATGGAACGATGAATACAGTAAACTACAATTCTTGCTTATTTGCTGAGGATATTTATCATGCTTTCAAAGCATTATTCTCAAATTGAATGCTATCAAGAACAAGGTTTGATAAGTGGCTTTTTTATACAGCGTCTAAAATCTAAAGAAGTTGTAGCTTTGTTTGTTTCTTATCTCAAATCTTTGTCTCATTTTCAGGAGCCTTGCTGGTAAACCAGGTTCTGTTTCGCTAAGAAAAGACAAGCAGAATTTGATTGGAATCAGCATTGGGGGTGGTGCACCACTTTGTCCTTGTCTGTATGTTGTTCAAGTTTTTGATAACACGCCTGCTGCCAAGGAAGGGACATTGCAAGCTGGTGATGAGATTGTTGGAGTCAATGGTAAATCAATGAGAGGGAAGACAAAAGTTGATGTCGCTAGAGCCATACAATCCATTAAGGTGAATATGAATTTTTTAAAAAAGGCAGTGATTTAGAAAATGAATAATTTGCCAAAATTAAATCTAAATGATACACTTCTTTTGCAGCTTTTGAATAAGCATAAAATTATTGGTCAGCTTATATATCAATCAAAGTCTGAATTCTGCTTATAAGATTTTTAAATGCACTGTACAGAAAAATTGTCCCTGAAATGAAAAGAATAGCCAATAATCAATTTGTTCGATAGGAAAGGTTTAGTGTTTCTTGTTGCTTTGAAAATGATTCCTTCCCCAAAAAATTATTGAATTTTTTCTTTATAGATTACTTTTCAGTTTGTCAGAAGATGTAGGAATTTGAATGACTTCTCTTACTTCTCATAATTTTACTTAGAACTCTTAATATTCTATTGAGAACAAACATTTTCTTGGTACAAATCTTTGTCTTATATACATCACATATATCATTTTGGACACTCTTGAAATATAAATTACAAAAAACTTACATGGAAGTCAGAAACGGTTATGCATGAAATCTATCTATGACTGAAACTTATTTACTGCTTTCTACAGGAAGAAGTAACAATTCAATATGTAAAGCTACATGCTGACCCTAAAGAAGGAAAATCCTTAGATATAGGTTTGTATCTTCTTATTATCTACTTCCATTCAGAAGTTAGCATATCCAAAATTTCATCCCCTTTTTTCTTTGCTTTTCTGTTTGTTGTCCCAAATAATTATATTATTTATAGTCTTAAAAATATGGTAAACAGCCTCTTTAGTAATTCTCTTCTATATAATTGATGGGCTTGACTACCCATTTTAACAGAAATAGAAATGTGCTCCCAGTTAATTTATGAGGCAAATAAATATCACTTGTGCATTTGTATGTTTTTAGCCTTTGCCCTATGATTACATAATAATCGTTAAAGTGGTTCTGATGAAGGCTTAAAGCCAGTACAGAAGAGGCAACTCCCTTGGCTAAAGTGAAATTGGAAATTCTCCACTCATTTCAGTTGTTTGGCTCAGTGGAATGAGCATTAGTTTTTTAAGCAGCAAACTGGAGTTCAATTACTGCCAAGAGTGGGTTGATGCAATTGGGCACCTTGTGGAAAATGTTCTGTTTCTGTCAACCTTTATCAAATCTGTTTCTGTTCTATTTTCTTAAATGATGATATATGTGACTTCTGATAATATACATCTCACAAATCATTATTGGTTTACTGTTTGCTAGTTATTTATTTTAAAATATTTTATCTCTCTGAATTAGTTATGAAGAAAATGAAGCACAGAATAGTGGAGCACATGAGCTCCACAACTGCAGATGCCCTTGGTTTAAGCAGAGCAATTCTATGTAACGGTAAGAAATGCAGTTATCAATTCAACTGAATTCAAAATAAAGTTCCAAGATATAATGAAAATACATGACTGCATACCCAGCTTTGGTATTTACTTGTCTTATGTATTTCTTTAACAGAGGGTGAGTAATTTACAGCCTACTTGGAAAAATAAACAACCAAAATGGTTAAAATCATCAATTATTTTTTAGCAATTTGCCATTTCAAGTATAACCTTTTTTGCAGATGGTTTGGTGAAGAAATTAGAAGAGCTGGAACAGAATGCTCAGATATACAAAGGTATAATTGATTTTTAGTTTTGATATCTTATGATTTTGTGATCCATAAGTAGATCTTCTTAGGGAAATTTTTTTATGTTGAAAAATATTCTAGCATTTTTGCTTTAATTTCTTTTCTGTCTTTACTGCCAGGTCTTTTTGAGCACACCAGAAGGCTGCTTCAGAGTTTCTTTCACATGTCTGTATTACACAAAGGTAAATAAAATTGATTTTCCACTGCACTGACCTATCAGATTTTTCAAGGATTCTATGTTATATAGCTGTTAAAAAGCAATTTTTCCAAGGAACCACCTTTTTTAACATCAGTCTTTCAATCTAGCTTACCGTTTACAAAAAGATAACCTGCTTGATTAATTTTAGGCATGGCGTGAGGTTTAGACCAAATAAATGTGCCAGACTACCTTAAAAAGATGTTCAATCACTTGCAAATATATGTTTTAAATGCAAATTAATGAAATTCCCCCTTTTTTATTTGAGTAATGGTTATAAAAGAGTTTTCAAAAACAATATAATCTCTGCAGAGGCATACTGTAGGTAGTGTGCCTTGTAAAATTGTATGACCATAGATGCATGCTTATTTGGTACTAGGACTCAAAGAGAGTGTCTCAGTACTATTTGTCTTAGTGACGCCTACTTTTTTGTTTAGAATTAGGGGACATATTTGCAGCTATAGGAGTGCGTGAATTACAGTCAAACTCCAGTGAAGCCTTTGCTACATTTGCAGATTGCCACAGGTTTGTTGTCAATCAATTTTTATTCTTTATTCATCATTTTGAATTGAGCAATATATTAAGTATTTGTTATTTATGCAAGTCAACTTGAAAAGCTTTGCTTTCTTTTAGAAATTTTAACAAATCTGGAATGCATTTTTTGAAAACTGTGAAGCCCATGCTAAGTGATCTTAACACTTATTTAATCAAGGTGTGTATATCTACTTTTAATCTGAATTAATCCTTATCATAATCAAGGAAACATTTGGCTTTTACGTGGATTACTTCCCTCAACAATTCCCCTAGAGGGTCATGGTTCCACTTGCGACCTGAAGCTTAACCTTTGTCTTTAATTTATGAAGAAATGCCAGTGACAATTTAGAATGAAGTAATGAATTTGAGTGGTTGACAGTGACAAAATTTAGACACATGTCAAAGACCAGGGTGAAATGTTAAATGTAAAGTTGGTTTTTTGCATGCTACATAGTTTCAGACAGGCAAGCATCTTCCAATGAAATCTTTTATCATACCTTCCAGATCTTGCCAAACTCTAATAAGTTCTTGATAACTGGGATAACTTTCTTCTTTTAATTAGCAAAACAATTTCGATGCCAATTCCTCAACATAACCACATCTTCCATAGCAAGTCAGCTCTGATCTAAAGCACTTATGATTGTGAAATAATTGTGTGAAATATTTTTCTCTCTAATTTGTTTGCAAGGCAGCCAATTTTGTACTCTTAACACCATATTGCTGGTAGTTGCTGCCCATGTGGAGTAATGTCTTTGTGAAAGTCCTGTAATAGATGAATGGGGCAAAATGAAATTAAAATGTTGTTGAAAACATTAGAGTTGCTAACTGGAATATTTTATTGCTTTTTGTTTGTAGGCTATTCCTGACACAAAGCTCACAATAAAGAAGTATGCAGATGCCAAATTTGAGTACTTGGTAAATATCTTAAATACTGCTTTCCAAAAAGTTGTTTTATATATTTGACATAACACAGTGGTACAAATGATCCAGAGGCAATATCTATTTGCATTAAAATAAAAGTGAAGTATATACATAAGAATGCTTCATAGGTCAGCAATTTTCAAGACAAAAGTAGAACTAAAATGTTCCAGTGTGAATATGGTAGAAAATGATATAAATACTTATTAGGGTAACACTGAAAAAGACTTATATATGGTTTCTAGCTATAACTACGAAAAATAGTTAAATTATATTTGTTAGCAGATTGAGGTTTGCTCATGATTATTTTTGCTTGCTCAAGTAGCCATTCATGAAGCATGTAGTTACAGTTAGATATTTATGCCTACCTGCTTCTGGTATCAGTTTTTGTACATTACTGCTTTCGTATCTCATTCCCCTTTGCATATTATGTTTTTCTTTTTTTTAAAGTCATATTGCCTGAAAGTAAAAGAGATGGATGATGAAGAGTATGGCTATGCTGTAAGTGACAACATTTTTGTAAACAATCCTGCCTAGAACCTGCTGGTATGAATTTGTGGAAGGGCTCAAATATTTCACCATATTTAGACCTAAGAGCAAAAAGTAATAATCAGTTTGTGTGAATAGTATTTTTGGGAGTTATAAGTGGCTAGTACTCAAGCAGTCTCTCAATTTCCAGATAATGGCTTTGCAAAAAGCAAACATTTCACAACATATTACTAAAAGCTTTCTCCTCTGACACTCCTCAGAGTATAAAACGTCAGAATATGGATCTACAATTGGGTATACATTTTCCATCATGTTTATTCGGATCCTTATTCTGATGTTTTATGCTAAAATACTTTAAAAGTTGCTTTAACCAAAGACTTCCAGGCTTTAGTTGCCTTATTAGTATGATGAGATGCATTAGTAAAATGAACTGCTTTATTCCACAGGCACTGCATGAGTCATTGTATCGAGTTGAAACTGGAAATTATGATTACAGGTAAGATCAGGAACTGATAAACTATTTGACTTGAATCCTTATCAACATGCTATTTTAGTATTGGTGTTGATAACAATATTTTGACAAAAAGTTTTTAGTGTACCTGAAGCAATCTATGTCTTATAAAGATAAGAAAAACTTTTTTATCATACATTTTTTTAAATATGACCTATAGGTAGTGGGCTTAACAATGACCTTTATTACTTCATCACGACAAGAAATTGTGATTAGAGAATGGCTTAGTGATTGGGATCACAAACAAAAGATCCAAGGGCTTTTGGTTCAAGTCACTGACATGACTACAGAGTATAGCAGATCAATGCACAAGTGCATTGTAGCACTGCCCAGCCATTTAGCAAACTGCTTTGTCAGGAAAACTTTTGTTTGTATGCAATGAATTGGGAAAAGGTTGTTGGCATGGGAAAAACATTGCTGAAACGAAAAGCGCATCAGCAAAATCTCACCAAAACTGCAAGTCTGAATAGACTGGCATCTTTTTCAGCTATTGCTGAGTCTACTTTCATAATAGTAATAATAATACTAATACATAAATGATGTTAAAAAATAATCCATTTGTCTGTGAGATGGTCTTTTGACTAGGTTCAGGTCTGCTCTTGTTTTCTTATCTCAAGAATGCGACACAAAAGTAAAGATAATTAGAAATTCGGCCATTTCATGTTATCATGATTTCTTCAAGGGTGATTCTTAATGATTTGCAATTAGAAAATGGAAAAACTAGATAGACCTGAACGAAGTCTACTTATCAAATTTACATTAAGAATACAACTACAAGGGCATCCACAAGTGTCACCGCTTTGCTTTCAAAGCTTTGGTTAATGCTTTCAAAGAATGAAATTTAAATTATGTTGACTGGCTTTTTAACAGGGTTGTTCTGCGATGTCGACAGCTTGCTCGAGAAAGGTTTGCAAAATTGAGATCTGATGTCCTTGTTAAATTGGAGCTCCTGGATAACAAGCATGGTATGTTGGAAATGTTTTGATAAAATTGTGTGCTGCAGCAGATTCTTACGAAGATTTGAATTTAGCTATTGAGTGTAAAGTTTAAATAATCCATACCTTTTTCTCTGGAAAAGCCTCTGTCGTTTTTCCCCTTTCATTCGCTCCCACACCAACACGTTTTCAGTCAATTTTCATTTTCCCGGCAAAATCATAACCTCGCATAGGGTTGTCCTCGTACTGAGTCGGCTTTCCATTCAACATGCAGCATGAAGATCAATGATTTCTATATCATTGTGACGATCACCAAAAGTGAAATTTGGGTTCCTCGAAATTTCAGGGCCTCCGACGAAGGGGGCCCCCATTCTTTTGCAAATTAATATAACTTTTTACAAAATCTTTTGACAAAGGTGTTGAATATTCCTTTGCATAAATTTTCCATGAATTTTCCGTATTTTATAACAAAAATATCCGGGGAGTTCCTCGAATTACAATTTACACTAGATTAAAATTTATGATAAAATGGTTACAAAGAAAATTATCTGTTTCCAATATACTTAGATATCTACATATGTTTTTTCGATGTTTAGATACAGTAACTAGATATTTTGTGATGATTTTCCAAAGTGGAGATTCAAAAGTTTCAATTTTTTAGGGGGCTTTTTTTCAAGGGGCTTTATAAGAGGTGAAGCTCCTTTGAATTCTAAAATCATAATGAGGGCGTTAAAAAGAAAAGTACCTTCACTTGCATCAATAAAATATATAATGTTGTACCTTTCCATTTTCTTTCAGTGCAAGACATTGTTTCACAATTGAAACGATTTCTGACAGCAATGACACTCTTCCACCAAGAAAGCGAAGATCATTTGAAAGGAGCAAATGTATTCCCAATTGAAGTCGATTTAAGTTCAGGGACTCTTGGTAACACTTTCAACAAATAAAAAGTGCCTGCCAATTTCAGTATTGTATCATAAATAAATTTATTTTATTAAGTCTTCCCTTGAATTAAATTTATTTAAAGCCAAGCTTTTATTTGAGGCATCTAAATAAATCTCGCGAGTCCTAACTGACCTCCTTCCGTAGGCAATACAACAATATGTTAATCCAAACACGCTAAAAGGACTGTAGAGAAAGGGGCAACGCACCAAAAAGGGCAGTAGCAAAATAAAGGAAATTGCTAAATTTTTCGTTGGCAAAGGGGCAAACGCCCCCCCTCTCTAGACTACCTGGATTAAAGCATATTAATCATACGACAGCCCGTCCTTTTCATGCATATTTGATGAATGGTCCCTACTATGCGTTAAATAACACGCAACCCCCACCCCCTCCATCGACTCGCCCGTCAAAAGATGTTTTGAAGGTGCTGCCATACTCTAAAGTTGAAGTTTTCACAAAATTTGATTAGCTTTTGGCAAGTTTAGGTGTTTAAAGGTTTTCCCATTTATTTCTTGGACTGACTTGTAAATTTTCCTTGTAAGTTAGACAGTGAGTACAAATTTAAACTGTTAGCTCTTTATCAAAGCAAAATATGAAATTTCTCAAATGTGATTTCTTGCCTATCCTTCATTCGACTGGAAATGTTTCTTTCGTTTCTACTTTTAATTTATTTGATTGCAATAGAACAGGACACATAACTGCAAAAAATTGAGAGCCAGCTCAGGGAACTAGAACGACAGCTCATGCTTCCATTCAGAAGTTTCATTATTGAATTAAAATTCAGAGCGACAAAGCGTGTAAATTTGGAAAGGATCGAAAATGAAAGTTAAAACTTTGCTACTGGCTTTCTTCATCATGAAAAACACAAGAACAGAACAATTTAAGGTCCCTTTTCTAAAAGTCCGTATTTCGACAAAAGAAAATACGACTGGAGCCAGAATTTTGACTATTTTCATAAAATACAATTTAATTATACAATCAACTTTTCAAGTCAGGGTTCTTTAGGGTGATGTAAGACTTGCTTTGCGTTATCCTGAAAGAAAGATAAAATAAAGTTAAATATGGTGATAGGTTATGGCAACTTTGCATGAATTTTAATATCCAAATTATATTGATAAAAGAAGAGACAAAAAGTTATAATCTTGGCAAAAGCTGAAAACCCCACAAAACCAACCTACAATCCTGGCCAAAAGGTTAGTGGACGGGTGAAAAAACCACTAAAATTGCAACTTGACCCCAACAATATTATCAAAACCCCCCACCCCTGAAGCAATGTTGGTTTTTTCTTGAATACCCAAGTAACAGCAATCGAAAAGAGTAGAAATAAGCGTATCAACATTGACAGTGGGGGGCGGGGAGCGTATTTTTCCAAAAATACTACAATTTTCCAGCCCAGTCCAATAACTTTTGGCCAGGATTGTAGCTACATACTCCCACACATTTTAGAACTAACTCATCAAACATTGACATTGTTTGAATACGGATGTCACGGTCATAAGCACGAAAATGATGAAGATGACACTGAATTTCTTTTTCCCTAAATGGCATTAGCTATCTTTTTTTACATTACACCAGGAATAGTTACCACCATTGAATGATCAGAACAGCGTGTCGCTAGAGGCGAAAGGCAGCTGAATAACATGCCGTGTAACTTCCAATAAGCTTATTGACATAATTGTGCAAGTACTTAGAAGGACAGGTGTTTAGATCTGTCGGCCCTGTGAAAAATAAGGCGCTAGAAGTGAACCACTTTGAAGTTCTACACTTTTTAATGAAGTTATCTTTACACTTCCTTTTAACGTAAGTAGTTAGTCAATGCAAGATGTTATTTTTTACTCGGTTTTCGGAACAAATTAGTTTAGAGTTGAGATCTTATTCACCACTTGATACAAAAGAGATAAACTCGACCCAGTTCTAAATCTGAACAAGATGACTTCAAACAGTCGTTGGAGAAAATTCTTAGATAAAAGAAATGCTCACTCCATTTTATGCAACATTCGCTTCTATGCTGTGTTCATTTGCCATGTTCTGATCTTTTTCCAATGTCACGTCATTTGTGCACTCAACAGCACTGTCGATCTCTCCATCTTCCTTTGCTTCGGATGTTTTTCCAACTGCCTTGCTCACTTCATCTTCTTTTAAATTCTCTTGGTTTCTACTTCTTTCTCTGCTACCGTCCCTACTTCTATTTTTACTGCGCTCTCTACTTCTATCCCGACTTTTATCTCTGCTTCTTTCGCGACTTTTTTGTCGGCTGCCATTTCTGTCACGACTTCTCCTGCGTTCTCTGCTTCTCTCCCTGCTTTTACTTCTAGCTCGGTTTCTGTCTCTGCTTCTTTCTCTCCGTCTATCTCGGCCATCTCTACTGTCTCTATCCCGACGGCGTCGATCTTTGTCCCGACTCCTGTCCCGACTTCTGCTTCTATCTCGCCGTCTGTCACGACTTCTGTCCCTACGCCGACTTCCTTCACGGCTACGACTTCTACTGCGTTTTCTAGAACAATAAATAATATCAAAGTTTTGTCTTGGTTTGATCTGCTAAAGGTTGAAGAAATTTCCAAGCAAAGATATGACAGTATTTGCTAAATTGCTAAAAGCGCAAAGAGAAAAACTGTAAACTACAGAATATCACTGTCGGTAGAGTCGGCAGTAAAACCTTAAACTTGTCAAGAAGAATGTGTTGACAGGAATCGTTTAAACAAATACATTGTGATATCGATATTTCATGTGAATTTTTTTAGAAAATACCTTCTAAAATGGCATTTAAAATTCAAACATCAAACACAAAGACTGCATCACGACACTCAATCAACAAGAATTAATCCAGTCCAAATTCTCGAGGCACAAAGTGACGCAGTTACCTTCTGTCTCTTTCCCGACTTCTTTCCTTCTTTTCTTTTTCGAGTCGCTCTTCTCGCTCCTTTCGTCTCTGTTCCCTCTCTTTTTCGCGTGCTTCTCGTTTTGCAGCCACCGACTCCTGAAAGGAGATGAGTTGTGTAATCAACAAGATAGGATTTCAGCTAAAATGCACATTAAATACATATAAGAGAAACAGGTATACTTGGACAGTACTTGTGCTAATAAACCAAACTAAAACTACTAAAAAATAGAGGAAAAACCGTAGTGCCACGCTGAGGAAAATATATATGGATATAATTAGTATATACAATTTATGAAGGTCCCACATTGAGTACTGTGCAAAATATAGTTAGCTGTACAAAATCGAAATAATCAAGATAAATAAGAGAACTAATTTATTTAGTTTGACTTGTTAAAATCTACTTGTAAGAGATGCTTGACAAACCTGTAACTCTGCCAGCCTTTCTCTGATCTTAATAAACCCCATGTGCAGCTTCCCGCCAAAATGGTCAGCTAATCTGTAAAAGGAACCACAGAGCACGTGGATAACAGATGCGAAAAGGCTGGGAATACACTCAATATATTGACCGTAAAAGAAAATTCACCGAAAATAAACACCAAAAATTTACAGAGGGCATATGCATCTCACAAATAATTCTTAACCGTGCAACGAATGTCGCCTTAGCTAAATCAGTCGTAAGCAACATTTTATGTTTGACCTGAACAGCAAAGAACGTAACGAGCATACCCATAGATTGGAGGCTACATTCCGCAAAACAGTTTCTCATCATCAGCAACAACGTTTTAAGCGGTAATATTTTTCTAAAGACGACATATAATCATCGTTTTTCATTTTCAAGTGACATTTTTATGCCATTAACGAATTTTGAATGAAGCAAGTCCAAACAACGATCAGACCTAACGGAACCGATTATATCATTGTTTTGACTCTACTATGCCGAAGACTAGGTCACAGAATAGGTCACTGTGTGTAGGTAGATGCCTCTGCCTTTTCTAAAAAGCGGGCAATATTGACAGAAGCCAGGGAAATCAATGCCCAAGTTTCGATTAGTTGTGCAGCCCTAGTTATTTCACCATTCTAAAAAACTTGGACAAACTTTATGCAATTACTTCAGAAAAAGGCCATAGAGCATTTCATTGAAACTTTGAATGCCTGCCTCAAGATATTATGGAAAATGTTAAGAGGCCTGGGTTTGGGAGCATACAACCATTTAGCCTCTCTTCAATTTTTCCACAATAAGCGAAAACCAGCAATGTGAAGGCGGAAGAGGCCTACTTCTACTGCCAAATTGTGTATATCTTGTCTTTGCCGATATTATTCTATAAACCTAATTCCAGCACCAACGTATCAAAAATTGATGGAAACCGCGGATTTAAAGAAGAATTTTTCGAGAATAAGTTATCAAAGATGAAGAGGATTTGTGCTTGAACGTTACCAGAGGTCTTTGATTGTACATTACTGAGTCGAAGAAATCTAACTTTACATGTTTTTTTCTTACTGTTACTATCTAGTGACTATAACTCTATCTATATTTCCGAAGTACAAATAGAGTTCAAGTTTTTCTTGCCTCGATCATTGCCACATGATGATGTTATCAATGTATTCTAGTCTTTTTCTTGAATTTATAGAAACTAATAAAAGCATGCAATATACCTTCTATCGTTATCGTACAAACTAAGATAGGCGCCACATATCTCACAGACTCGCAATTTCTGCTGCTGACTTGTGGTCACAGGTAATGTGCTTCTGTACATATCCTGAAAAGAGTAGAAGATTAATTTGAGGCTACAAATAGTCATAACAGCTATATATTTTCACCTCAGCATCCAATGATATTATCTCCTAGAGCATCTCTTAATCCAATGATAGATAGATAAAGTTTTAAAGTCAAATACTTTACCTCTGCTTTTCTCTTCTGAACCTTTAGATCATCAACTTCTTTCATCATTGCCAAAGACTCTTCAACTTTACCATCAGCACCTTAAATCAAATAGAATATGTAATTGCATGGCCAGAATCATTTGACAAGTGTAAGTGTCTGAAATCGTCAATCACATACTTAAAAGGGGGAACACTATTACCCTGTGAACAAGAGCCTAAAGAAGATTTGAGTCAAACAGCTGAAGGGTGGTACTAAATTGTTTATTTCAGAACCTCTTTCCTTCCCTTTTCCTTTTATGGTCTTTCACTATTATGCAATGATGCCTAGAATACTACAGCTTGCATTTAACAAGAGATAAGCTGCAATCTGTGGTGTAAGGGAGAGCCATGACCAATATTAATAGGATAAATATATTAAAAATAAATATAGTTAGACTAGAATAACATGCATATTCATGAATATCTATTTGTTGGAGACAGACCTAACGTTTCACTCTCTGCAAGCAGCTTTCCGATTCGCTCATTCAGTGCATGCACAGCCATTGCCTGAAATAGTTCAAAGATTCAAATGTCAATGGTATTAAAATTCCAATACAATTTTTCTCAATAGCAAATATTGACAAGAAAGATTATGTTCAAACATTTTGGAGGCTGAAAATGCTTCACATACACAATGAGTTGACAGCCAAATTAAAAGGATGATAAAAACTAAACTTGGATTCGAAAAAAAAATCTAGATAAACAGTATACATATACTCATTTGATGATGATGATGACATACTCATATACTCAATTCGAAAGAGTATCTTTCAAATGCATGCTTTTGTCAAAGAAATTTACTTTACAGAAATATTTGATTCAGAAAAGCCCAGAGTCATTAACAGCAAAGTTTCAATAGTAACCTCAGGTGAACCATCGTAATCTTCACTGTTATCTTCAAGTCTCTTTTTATTCACCTCCACCTTTCTATCACAGTCCTTAACAAATGATGTTAGATGTTCCAATTGCTACAAAAAATAAAATGGGACATAAAGCAAACTTTAAAAATACATAATGTTTAAAAATTGTAGTCTGGCCTTAGTATTACTAGAAAAAATTGACAAAAGATCAAAATTTATTTTCTAAGACGGGTTGAACTTGTTTCCTTTGAATGCGGCCTTGTTTGAATGCCATTAGGTGACTTTGCCTCTATTTACTTTAAAGCAGAGGTGGTGCCAGAAATCTTCCAACAGAGGGGTTTAAGCTTCCGGCAAGGGGGCTAAAATGACAAAAATATGCACTTTTTGTTTGTTACTTTGTCAAATTTGCTCCAACAATAGCCCAAAATTTCCTTCGATAGGGGGGCTAGATGTTTCCGACAGAGGGGCTATAGCCCCCCTTAGCCCTCCCCTGGTGCCACCACTGCTTTAAAGAAAGTAATGTTTCTAAGGAAACTTGTTAAAACAAGTCACCATCGACAAAATTCAAAAATGATGTCTATAAGTTTCTTTTATCAGATCACAGTGGCATTTGCTTCATTATGGAAGTAAACAGCATATATATCTACTTACATCAACATCATACCCATAATCTTTTGCCTTTGAAGCATTCTCAAAATCAGCCTTAAGTGCCAGTGAATGGTACTTGTGACATGGTCCTAAATCCAATTTCTAAAGAGAAATCAAAGATTCAAATCAAAGATGGTTATAAAAAACAGAATAGTGAGAAGAGAAGTCTGAAGGGGTTTAAAACGGTTATAAATTTTCAAATATATGCTGTCATTTTCATAACTCCAAAACTTTATGTATCATACTGTAATTAGATCAAACGTAAATTACTTACTGTGTTATGGAACTGTTCATAGGGGCACAGACCCATAATAAAACTTTTGCAAACAGTGGGGTCTGTAAACTTCAAACCTTCTTCTACATCTTCACCTAAAAATATAACATCATCATTATAACACTGAAATAGTTTGCAGATCTACAAAAAGTTATCTTAATCAAAGATTTATCATTAGCTTCTTTGCAAAGTGATTAACAAAGCCAATGCAATTTAGGTCTATGATTTTATCATGATTCACTCACCATACATAAACATGAAACAAATAATTAACTAGTTCTTGGCCTCCAACTGATGATTTGAGGTCTCTCTTTGCTGGCACAAAATATTGAAAAGTACTCACGATTATATATGCTCACTTTGATTTTTCACCAAAATTCCCAAACTAGTATCATCCCAAGAGGATAGACAGCACTAGGAAATCCACAGAGTTATATGTCCACTCCAAATTAAGATTTTATTCACTATCATGTATTCTGTTTGCTTTCTTACAAAAAATCAAAGCATGTGTATTTTATGTTTCACAGATATACTGGTCTTATCATTGTGGTGCACACTCATTGGAGACATATTGTAATGACAGCTTTTGAGAATTAAACAACTAACATGTACATGTATGTGAGCCCAATTGAATTCAATAATGAGTATTTTAGATATCTAATAATCATAAGTGTCTAAATATTACAAAATTTGACCATTCTCTGTTCTCTTTGGCCAAAATGGTCGAAATGCAGTTTTTTAACCTCTTCATACTTTTGAAAGGTTCATAAATTGCTATTTTAGAAAGTGTTATGAAAATTTATGAGTTTTGAAAATGTTATGATAAGCCAAAATAAAAAACTGAAAATTCATATCAATTTCTGCCTCCAAACAAGTTATTGGATCTTTTCCATGGGTGAAGGTGTACTTTTACAACTAAAGTATATATTTGGTATATTCTTAAAGCTACATAAATATATACCCTTTTAAGCATATACCCACAAATTAAAGCTTAAACATTTGAGTAATTATCAATCTGTAATCAATGAAGAAGGAAATTTATTCTTAACTTGCTTTAACTTTATAGATAGAGTAAGTCATATAGGGCATCTAAAAATTCTTCACAGAGGAAAGGCTAACAAATGGCTTGTCAATAAAGGCATTTGTGTTTGGTTATAAAAAGGTTTTAACCCAAACTTTCTTTGTATTGTTAAAGTTTAAGGAAATGAGTGAAAAGGTCATATTATCTTGACTTGAATATACTTGAAAGGGGTTCAATAAATTGTTTGATGTTGTTGACTGACATCTTTGTCAAATTTATACTGTATGAATTAACAAACCCCAATAGGGTAATATAATAAACCTTGTGTTATATATACATGTTGAGGAGTTTTTTGACATTATAAAGGAATCACAGGAATCGTTGCCTAAGGTCAGGAATGGCTCTCCCGCCAATATGACATCCTGCAAAACATGTTTCCTATCCAGACTCGCTATGTCTGTTTGTATTTCTACTTGCCAAAAGAACTGACTAACGAGATCAGGGAAATTTTTTCTTGTCTATTAATATGCTTATTCTTTGATATATATACATATTATACAAAAAGCAAATGAATGCTAAAGAAAAAGAGATTCATGATGCAAAATTTTCATTTAGTGTGATTGTTTTTCTTTTTTGTGGTTGCTTTACTAACCATGATATTTCTCAATGTTTCCTAAAAACTGAAGCTTTAGATAAAAACCAAATAAATTGTAGTTACAACTGACTCACATACCCTCAATACTTACATATCCATAGAAGTTTATTGACCTATGTAACATTCTATTAAGTCATGTCTTGTTTTGTAAACAATTCTGAGCAAAGTAATAAATGAAAAAGCTCAGGCATTGAAAGATGCATCAATTGAGAATATCTTCTACTTGACAAATTAGGGGACTGGTGTTTGTAAAAAATGAAAGAAATGATATAAATATTTTTAAACCAAGATATGTTTGTTATTATTACAATATGTTTTTACAAAATTTGTAGGTATGGGCGTTAATAAGTATTCTGTAGTTTGATTGATATGATATGATTTGAGAGAAGCATGACCGTTAATTTCCAGACTCAGCCACAGATTCAACAAAAGCTAATAACAGGAAAATTTCACCAGCTTTAAGCAATCAACAATCTACTCAAATGTATCGTAATGTCTGGGTTCATTTCTTTTACATCTAATAGCTACGGTATCTGGACGACTTCCATGCCGGTTTCATAAATTAGGCCACGCTTTAAAAAAAGGTTAACCCTGTCAAAACAAGTTAATTTTAGCTACGCCATTGCTATTCTCACCATCTCTTTTTGTACCCATAAGCTCATCCAGCATTTTCCGCATTTGCTCTTGGGCAGTCATCTTGACATCGGTTCTGGGAGAACAAATTCAGCCACTTTACCTTCGCCAGACAAATCCTCCCCACAGCCACAACACGAAAGTGAATAAAACAAGCAGCAAGAAAAGTGCATGACGGGATATTTACTAGACCTCGATATGGAATGCTCTCCTGTGCTCGAGGTAGAAAACACATGACTTCCACCGGACAGAATAAAAATTGAAGGGAATGCAGTGGTTTCGAATATAGTGCCTAAAGAGATTTAACCAACCCAACAATCCAAAATATAGTTCATATTATTTGAGAATACCAGAATGCTGAAACCTAAAGCCTTAGTAGATGTGCTTGGACAAGCAAACACTGGCGGAGTCATAAGCACAATGTAATACAGCGTTCCTTTTTTAAAGAAAATTTTTTCAATGTGTTTTTTAAGTATATTATTAAGATATATTACTATGAGTGATTTTCTAAATGTGTAATTTATTTTTATTTCGTTTGATTTTAAAATTCCACTAATTCAATATAAATACTAAATAAAAATAATTCAATTACAACAATTTGACAAAGATTATATATAACAAGATAACAAAAATATGAAAAACAGAAAATTGCTATATATATCATATATTATAAATAGATTCAGAAAAATGATAGAAATTTTTATGGAAGGGAAATTTTAAAGGAGATGCTCTCTCAATAGATGAACTAATCGATCTCTTGTGTGTGTTTTTTTACCCTTCATAGTAAGAAAGAGACATTTATTATGTTTGAAATGCCACTGTTTGACTTGTTTGCTACCATTAACAGGTTATTAAACCACAAAGGCTCATTGCTAGCCTATGCAGGCAGCGAAGACAAAGATGTAAAGGTAACTGCTGCTGTGGCATCAAACATCTGGGCTGCTTATGAAAAGGGAGGCAAAATGGCATTTCACAATGAAGGACTTCAGTTCATGTTCTTAAATTGTGAGGTAATTGAAAACATGTCTTTGTCACTTGCAAATAATTTGACCCAAGGACATGCAAAATGTTCTTTCAACATATTTCTTTTCTCACAATTCGTCAAGTTTGTATTTGTTTAGTTTGTATTTGTTTAAAAACCTCCTTTCATGAGGGCTTTTAAAAAGGTAAATCCTATTGAAACCATCAATGTTGGTGAAAAGAAAATTTTTACATATGATTGTTAAATGGCCAAATCCTATGTTTATGGAACTGAATATGACATAGTTGTATCAGATTAATCTCCAGAAGCATTAGAAATGGGAATGTGCCACCTGGAATATTAGATTTCTCTTAAATTTGAATTAATGGTTCTAAGTATTAACTAACATTTGCTTATCCAGGAGGGAACAGTTGCTGTCACCAAAGTAGCAAACACACTTCTCTGTATGTATACACAGCCAGATGTTGGTTTGGGACTTATAAAGTCAAAAGTAAGTTTAATGCAGTTCTTTAAATGGTCTTTAAACAATAATAATGGTTTCTTTAAATTAATTCAGAAGCTGTTTTTTGCTATAGATGTGCTTTTTCTCAAATTTTGGACCCTGGCAATGACCAGAACTATGTAGTGGGACATGTATATTGTGCCTGCTGAAGTTACTTTTATTGGAGTAAAAAGAGAGAAAGCAGGGACACAGTAGAAAGCACAGAGGGACAAGTGCACACCTTAGCTTTTACCTTGATAAATCAATAACATAATTATTGTGTCTATTGACCCTATGAAAAAGAAGCCATAACTTTCTTGTTGAAAACCTACATAGAAAATGATTTGTTAATATTTGTCATTATTTATGACTTTACAGTCTGTAATGTGTAATTTTCAATGTCATGGTTGCAAAATTTGTTTTTTTAACAACAAATGCCTTTTTCAAAATAAAGTGGCAAAATATGCTAGCCTCATGGCATCTTTTTTTGAAAAACTTTTTTAATGAAATTGCACAAAAGAGTAAGAAGGAAATTAAGATTTCACTAAAACTATTTTTGAAATGCAATTTCTGTTTCCAATGAATGACAATATTTTTAAATATTAAATGTTAAAACAATTTCTCTTCTTTCAGGCTGAGGCGTTAGCTGAATATTTAGAAGAGCCTTTAAGACAAGTGACTTCATGAAATAATTGGTGTTTAGCTTAAAAAATGTTCATCTAACATTTTTGTTACTGCAGGAATTTTGTATATATTTTTTGTTAAATTGCAAATCAATGCTGTCATGGTGTATAATTCAACTAACTGGAAATGTTTCTTTTTACCTAATGATGATTGGTTGCTAATGTAAGTTGGATCTTGCTGCTAATGCTATATTTTGATAATGAAAATTGGACAAATTTTAAAAGTAAAAATCAAAATTCAGCATGCCCACTATCTTATCTTGCCATATTTGGAAACACATTCGCCTCAATATAAGAACTCTTCTGAAAAATCCATTAATCTTTAATATTCTGCAGCAGTAAATTTCTAAATCGTTTGGTAAACTTAGTTTTAATTTTGGAAAACTGTAAGAGCAGCAGTATTAATAATTTTGAATGATATTGAAACTTTGTTTTCTGCTCATCCTACCTTTTATTCTAACAGTACAAGTTCTTAGTAACAGTAAAGATTTATGTCACAAAACACCAGACAGGAATAAGATGAAAATAAAAAGCTTCACACTTCTGAAATACAATTCTATCTTAAAATATTTACAAGTAACAATGTTTTACTAGAATAACTTACAATAAATAATTTAAATATTACTAAAGGCAGTTAATAGATGATGAACAATAGATATTTTTTTGAAAATTCAAAAATGTTTTATTTACATTAAAACAGAAGAAAGTGATAAAAACTGTTTTGTATTGAAAAAACTGATTTTATTTGACAAAAAAGTTTTTGTCATGACATAAATATATATTTTCAAACATAACTTATGAAAAATTAATTCATAGGCTCTCAAGAGGTTGTTCTCTCCAATATGAAACAAATGATTAAAAATTACCATCAAAAGATGCGAACATGAATTCAATGAAAACTTTTTATCACATTCGATAAATATTATACTGCCTTAATTAGGAATTAAGTCACACTTTCCTTTGGGTCTACAGTTTTATCAACAAAATTTACACCAATAAAGCTTTGTTAAGCAGTTTTCTCATCTGAGTCATTAGATTGCACTGGGTTCCCGTGAACCCTAAATCTGTAGATACAAGTATAAACTGGATTGCCATAATTGCTCTCAATGTTGAGTTCAACAATATCAAGTGCTTCATCTGGGAGAACCTAGAAAAAAGGTTATTTCAATGACATCTTTGGCTTTGCTAAGGTTAACCAAAACAAAAATGAACAGAAGAAAGCTAGATTTTTATCAAAATTTATCTGGTGAAGTTAGCACCCAGTGATTTTAGGTTTAGCATTGTTTTGAGAAACTTAATAGTTGTTAACAACAAAATAGTTACCTGGATTGGGAACGTTTGTCTTGCCTTGCTCAGTTGAACGTATGTGTAGGAACCAAGAAGAACCTTGTCTTTCCCTTGCTCATCAAGCCAACCCTACAATGAAGCCGTGTGTAATTTCTTAGAAAAATTAAATGTCAAATAACATAGGGGCCAAATCCTAAAACCTATAGTTGCAACTTGGTATTTATTAAATCAATTAATGAGGTGAACTGTGATACATTTCCATTGGTATATAAGTCACTAAAGCACTTGATCACATACCTTACACATTGCTTAGATCAGGACAGTTCTTAGTTGCTTGGAACCGTCCTGTGCTATATACTAAAGCATGTACAGCTCTTCCTATGTGGTACTGATCACTTTATGATAGACTGGTAACAGAAATTTCCCATTGTATATTTACAAAGTTCAGGTGCTCAACTATGATTGGGGGCTCTAGCCTAGAGGTCCAAATCCCTGCCCTTTTAGTACAAAAGTGCTCTTTTGACAAAATGATCAAAAACTTCAATTTAAAATGAATCATTTCAATATTAAATAATTGAAATTATAATTATATCGTCAATCTAACTTTTATATAATTAAATTTTCGCTCAAATTCGTAGTAAAGAGCTTTATGGAAATAAACAGGAATAAGGCCAAACATAATATGCGAGATTTTGGAAACCGCAGCTTGTTAACAGAACTTGATAATAAGTGCTAAGTGCGAAAAAACAACTATATACTATAATTATATACTGAAGATGACTCTAGAAAGAGTCGAAACGTTTATTTAATCTAATATATTGAATATGTCTATTTAATCGAATTGTCTATTACCTGATTTGTCAACTTCGTCATTATGTCGAATACCGGATTTGTCTAATTATCGGATTAATAACAAGAAGTTTTCGACTGTTTCAAACAATATGATTGCCTTTTTTAGTGGTCGTGATACTTATTATCAACATGCGATATGTAATAGCCAATGCCAAATTTAAAGAAACTTTGTCGATTAGTAGATATTAGGAAATGTAAAGGGTAAAGTAAAGGTGACTGAAAAGTAAAACGTTGTTGATAATATGATTTAGCTTTTGAACAAGAAGAAACTGTGGCAATGGTACGGTATGGTGATGCTCAGGCAAGCAAACCGATCATTGCAAAACTTCAGAGCAGCTTTTATTATAATGTTATGGCTATAAAGGAGTCCCAATCCGCCCCCCCCCCCCAAATTCGATTACGGAAGTTGAGAGAACCATAGGCTGATTGCCGCGCTACGTAAATAAGACAGAGGTACAGATCGAACAATTCTTTCAATACTCACGAAAACAGAAAAATTCTTTGGCGTGCTTTGTAATGCATCCTCGTGAAATTTGGAGAGGGCGGGATGCAGATGCTCCATCGTTACCATGGTAGGAATGATTGGGAATGCGAGCTGTAAAATATTGAAAAAGAAACAGTTATGCATAGCTGCATAGTGTATGATAGCTCACAGTTGCCATTATATCACTTACAGATACCTAAAAGGATCGGGTCATACAACGTCATCAAAATGCATTTAACGTCATTTAACATGTTAACATGCCAGTTTCTCTAGTCGTTTCAAATTTATCTGACTCCTGCTAAATCATACAAACACAGCAGTGGCCATATCTATCTTTTCGACGTAACTGCAAGTGTTTAAATACAATTAACCAAAAGATATACCTAGACTTTACATCAACCTATTGCTGAAGGACAATAATTAAAATTGTTAAAAATTGGCGTGGATTCAAAGCACAAGGCTGCACCCTAAAATTAATAAATAGTACAAAATTACATCAACTGCTAAAGAATTTGCAAAATTTATAACTCTCGACAATCAGTTCAATTTTTAGCTAGTATGCAAATTTGTGCTGCCCTTGCTAGTTGAACTTTGAGTACCAAGCGACTTTTCAACTTTCATTTCATTCCTTGCTTTCACTACACTTCACTGCACTACAAGTCGTTTAGCTAATTCAATTCAAATAAAATCCTTTATAACAGAATATTCGCTTCGCCCACACAAAGTATATCAAGTTTATAGCATGAACAGCAAAGTCACAAAAGGACTTGTTCATTTAATGTGAGTAGATGCTTTTTGATCCACACTTTAGTATATGTAAACGGATCCGACGTTGGGCGCCACATAGTTCGGCCAGCCATTTAGTATACCTTGATGGCAGCGTATCCCGATGATCCTTTCAATGGCCAGCAATTTCCAGGTAGTGTCTCCGGTTTAATGATTTCCCTGGGTGTTCGTGTATCCTCCCAAACGACCATGCCAAACACTTTCATGATAGGCCAGCCTGAGGAGTGCGTCTGAGAATGGTACGGGACATGAATTCTTCCTCCTAAAATCAAGTAGCAATAATTATTAAATTTTTTGTATCAGGTGAAAATATTATCAGGTGAAATCACGCTTGACAAATTCGTAGCTTTTTATATGTCTTCTTTGACAAAAGTTTTAACAGGTTAAACGGTAGAAGCCTTTTTCATTCACATAAATTGTAGGTTGAGAATATTCTTTTCGGAATTTCGAAACGATCGTGTGCTGATTTTGGAAGCATATATTGCAATATCTTTCATATATCATAATTTTTTTGTCTTGGATAATAAAGTTTTCATTTAACAACCATAAATCAATACAGTCGCGACCGTTTACAGCTAACAAATCAAGTTAGAAACTGATATCTGAGAAGGACTATAAAGACGTTTTCAGTGTACATGCCTTTTTGAACGCCGTGCACCTCAAAGACACCCGCAAGCGAATATTTGACATCGGCAATACTCACAGTGCAATCGATTGCCTAGCCGTGTTTACGTAGACGATCTAATATCTAAAAAGCTCCAGAATTAGCGCAGAATAATCAAATATTTTGTGTATTAGGGCAACTTTTTATAAAATTCTCTTCCTAAACTTAACTTGTTCAAACATGGCTTTGAATGAAAGTTGATTTTACTTAAAATCATGAAAAAATAAATATTTCCTGTGGACATTGAAGAACAAAAATTTGAGCTTACAAACTCAAGTCATTTGTTGTTGAATTCGAAATTAACATTTTTAGGAAACTGTTGGCACCATTCCAAGAAAAAAGCCTTCGAAATAAAAATCTATTTATAACATTCGCGATACAGATGGGTTACTGCAGAAAAGATTTTCTGAAAGAAAAAACGCAAAGCTAGAAATCAATTGTCTTTTACGCACAAAGCTGTATTTTCAAATGTCAACAAAAAGATATGATTTGGAGAAATTCGATAGAATCAAATCTCGTTTAATGAAATAAAAGCGCAGGTACTTTACAAAGAGAATACCTAAAAAGGCTATTTTTGCTAAAACCAAAGAATTCACGCGCAATACAGACATTTGATATTTTATGATTGATACAGGGTATATATGCTTGTAGTTGATGTTATGTGCAAATAAAACTTTTGTTCATAAAATTGAATCGTTATACAAACAGAGATACAAATATAACTTTCGTAGTTGCTAAAAGACTATCCTTATTCCTGTGTTGCCATTGTTTTTATCCCTAAAGCTATCATCCCCAGTAGTGCTGTCATCCCCAGTAGTGATGTCATCCCCAGTAATGCTGTCATCCCCAGTAGGGCTATCATCCCCAGGAGTGCTGTCATCCCCAGTACTGCTGTCATCCCCAATAGTAATGTCATCCCCAGTAGTGCTGTCATCCCCAATAGTAATGTCATCCCCAATAGTAATGTCATCCCCAGTAGTGCTGTCATCCCCAGTAGTGCTGTCATCCCCAGTACTGCTGTCATCCCCAGTACTGCTGCCATCTCCAGGAGTGCTGTCCTCCCCAGTACTGCTGTCATTCCCAGTCATCGCTGTGATCCCAAGCTTCTATCATCCCAAGTACATTCATTTATGCATATCTTATAAATTGATAATGCATAAAATGATTGATGATATTTTCTGCTGCATTGATGTAATTTGACGCTTTTGGTGAGGGCGTTTTCTATTTCAAAGCGATATGGGTTAGTCATGGTTCCAATAAACTATACTGTTTGCGGAAGCTCCCTCCAGCATCCTTATTTTTCTGTAGGTAGCGTTTATGCCATTTCTAAGCTGCATTAATTCTCGGCGACGGCGTTATCCGAAAATTGTCATGATATTCCCAAATCCATTCATTTTGGTATTCCCAAAATGTTGAAAACATGATTACTGCTGTCTTGCTATTCTTGTGGGTACCCTAACATTACATTATACACCATACTGCTGTTATTCCTAACCGCAGAATCCCAGTATGTTTGCTTCACCAATCGGTCCTCATCAATGGCTGACATGATATCCTCGTCACTTTCGACTTTCGACCTCTAAAGAAGAAGGTATTCTAGACTGACGTCAAAGGCAGACTAATTTCATACCAAAATTGGGAAGATGAGCTCACCTGCTGACTCAAGAGCGTAATCAGGAATGCCAATCTTATCTGCATCGTATTGAACCAGTGCCATTTCTACCAGCGAATGTATTTCGCTTAGATCAACTGGAAGCTCCTGTGAATAAAACGCATCGACAAGCATTCTCAAGAATTAGCAACGCTATACAAAGTGGCAGTAGCATGTGTTCCAATATTCTGTTTTTGCTTTAGAATTTTCTCCTTCAAAAATTGGAAAACGCTTGTTCTCTTGGTTCTTTTTAGCAAAGTCCATTGTAATGGGAAAATGCTAATGTAGGAAGCAAAACTAGAATCATTATGAAACACGGTTCACTGAAATGAATAAACTTAAAGGAAATTCGAAGCTGAAAGACACCACAGTCTGCCTGTATCTTGGCAGTAAAGGTTAAAACTATGCATAAAAACTCGTTGCATTCATGCAGTCTCCTCCTCACCTGGATCATTACACCTTTAATAATCAAGAATACAAAATTAAGGGACAAAAAAAAGATATACAGTGCCTATAACCTTTGAGAATAGGGCAAAACCATATCATTCGAAACCAGGGGTAATGGGAACTTGAAAATTGTCCAGTGAAATGAACAAAAAACGGCAGAAATTTTGGTGGGGCACCCATCTCACACTAATTAGGGACAAAACTGTATATACGTTTAGAAAGACATCCATACAAAATGATATGTTTTTCACATTTTAGGATTAAATCACAAAAACTGGTATGGATATATGCCATTCTCATATCATGCATGGGTTCTTGCCTTAAATCAAAATCCTGGAACGCTTTAAAAAGCAACGTTCATTCAAATAAATTCCAATGCAGATCAACTTACCTTATCTGAATATTTACTAAAATCAACATTATCTGCAAAAACAAACACATTTCCAACATTAAATATTTATCAAGAGTTTAACTGATAAAGAGAAGGATTTTTGCTGATAAGGAACAAATATCAACATTTTCTTGCCAGAAAAAAAGAGCTGATTTATCCACAAGTAGCGGAGAAGGCTTTTATTTGTAAACAGAACAGGGGTCCTTCTCTATAGAACAGAATTTTATCATTCGAAAAGAAACCATACTGCTCCTGCGTCGACGTGTGGGTGTCTCTTATCACTGTGCAGTTTTAAGCCATGAATAATTTTCTATGCTTGTTTAGGGTTTTCTGGGGTTAGTTCTCTGAGAACATAATGCTTTTCAAGTTTCCAAATTTTCAAGAAAAAATTACTTAGAGCAGCAAATAATTTCAAGAATGTGAAGTGAACAAAGCTCTATTTGTGATCCTGAGAGTCTGCTTTATTGTGCATCGCTTCAAAGAAACCTAAATCTTGTTTTAGCAGAAAAATTTGGATTTTGCCTTGATGATTACGAGAAGATAGAACAAACAATACGAAATAGATGCCAAACATTAAATAACCATTGATATCTAGAATAAAAGTTCGCATCACAAGATAACAAACATACCTCTTTGCCTACTTGATACGGTTAGAGCTTCAATCTGCCTTTGTAAATTTCCAAATTCTTTAGAAGCCTTATTAAGCAAAAAAGATCAAGTCATCAACTGTGGTAAAGAACGCAAAATCGATGAAGTTGAATCCTAAACATATTGGCTTCTTAAATAGTGAAATGTCGGCTTAAGTTACTGAATACTTCATGATATGACAAGTAGTAAACGATTAATGTCCTCCGATAAAGTAAACGATAATCAATAATTTGCAAATAAGAGCATAGCATTGCCTCTGTAAGGAAAAGTAATGGATTTAGAAGACACAAATCTCCAAAGAATCCCTCAATTCAGTAGCAATAGATGATGATGGACTTTGAAAAATTATAACATAAAAAGCTATGTTAATTACTCATTCCCTCATTTACTGCTCAATTTAAAAGAGTAAACACTGCATACAGATTCAGCAGCTTGTCAGTCTGAATGCCGGTTAATTAAAGGTCAATTTATATACCTTTTCATCTAGTGAGCTTTGTTTGCTGTCAATCTTCTCGAATTCATATTTTGTTTGCCGTTCTAGCTGTTTGAACAGTTTTCCACTCTCATTTATCAATTCAAATGCCCTGAAGCATGAACAAATAAATATATTACTCAAAGCTCCTTGCAGTTCAACAAAATCTAGGCCTAATCGAGAAAGAGAACCATCAAGAAATGCAATGCCTGCCAAAAGTCTTGGAACACTGACATCAATTTCCAAGGTTAAAATCAATCATCCCCCTTTCCCCTACAGAACAATGTTGGTTTACAATCAAACGGGTTAGGATTTTAGGAAGCACTTTCTTTTGCGCTTCTTTTATGATATTTCTCTAAATCATCAACATTGTTTTAGGGGGAAGGGGGCGGAAGTAGCAATTTTTTTTCATGAAAGGAATGAAAGATATCAAATGCAGCGTAAATTGCTGGGTGTTCCAAGTACTTTTGGCAGGTATTGAATGATTGATTAAAAAAGACATTCATATCAAGAGTCTAGTGCTTGAAAAAATAGTTCATGGTAAAAGAAAGACAAATCACTGCATTCACCAAAAACAGAGTTAGTGTAACATCCAGCTGACAGTATAACAGTATGCTAATTACCGCCTCGAGAGTCATTTAACAAACATCACTAGAGAGGATATCTGGCACTGAGGTTTTGCATACAGTAATCTGTTTATTCAAAAAATCTTTGCAGGCATTGCCATAATGAGCAAGCGTGTGAACAAAGGATATACCATGTTACTCGGAAAAAAACAAAGATTTTAAGGACTACTTACAGTGCCAGCTTCTTGCGAAGTTCTTCGTGGGATCGCAAGCAAATTGAAGCATCACTGCTGAGGTCGAGGTTCTAAAGCATAACACAGATAAAAACAACTTCGAAATAACCTTGAGAAACACTAATGTTTCCAAATTTCATTAAAAATAGCAGAAATAAAAAATGCTGTCTCACTTATACATTGATAGCAACCATATTCAATCTGTTTGTCCCCAGTAATAAAGATACAGACTTATGAGCTAAGTAAAATGGATAAATTTAATGGTCTATAAGAAATAAAAGCTCTTTTCTACTACCCTTTAAAACTGGGAATTTGATATTGCAATAGCATGTTATGCCAAAAAATTACCGGTCGTGTAGAGAAGCTGAAAATTCATCATGAAGCCTTGTGGTAGAGGATTAGCAAGCAAGCATTACTCAGAACTGATTGACAAGTTGATCTTACTTACGTCCAGTTTAATTTCTCTTCCTTTGAGAAAAAGAAATGCTGGGAAAAAAGAGCAGAAGATATTGAGGCCTGTGGTTAGTTCTTGTCGGGGAAGCTTTTTTAAAAATGATGATATTACCTTGAAAAGGCTTTTATGAAAAATCAAAATAATGTCTACGTAGTGACCAAGCTAAATCTATGGAATCTTAAAAAAGCTTCACGCTGGGTTGATCCAACGAAAAAAGGACTTGCGGGTTAGTAAAAAGTGTTTTGCTTGGAATTTGTTAAATACAGCTCCTAAAAAAGACTTGTTGCCGAAGCTTATCGTTTTACCATTACAATGGCAGCAATATCTCGGTTGCAGATAACTTAATGATTTACGAAGATACGTACTAAATAGTATTTAGCGTACTAAAGCCTGTTGTGACGTCACTTGCAACGATAAACCTACCAGCTCAAAGGCCATGATCATAACAAAAAAAGATTGCGAGCATGTAGGGAGTCTCCAGCTGCTAGGAAGTTTCTCTGATCAAATTAGTTGCATAAACAACAGACTCAACGAGAATTCCTCTTCAAGCAAAGAAAATGAATTGAACAGGTGCCAAGCACACAACGTTTGCTTGGAAATAAACTTCATTGAAATGTTTTCTTAAATGATTATTTTATCTAACTTTAATCGTATCATAATAAATCATTACAATGCATTAATCATAAAAAATTGAAGTGGAGCCTGCATTGTCTAATGTAATGCATTTTTGTTTTAAAAGTATTTATCTAAGAGAAAAATGTTACTGTGCAAGCGTTATTTGTTTCTTGGCCCTTTGTACTCTGGGTTCCAGAGCCCATTAAATTTGGGAAGGAAAAATAATTTATGAAGAAAATGGGGAGGAAAGGAAAAGAAAGAGAGAGAGGACCTCTCTCCTTTATATGATTCCTCAATTCCACTCTCCTCCTGAATTCTTTGGCTCTGGTATCCAGGATAGGGATTTTGTCTCTTCCTTTGTTTTAAGTAGAGAAACTTTGCCCACTCACTCTCTCTCAATTTCCCCATAAGACCGCTTTTCACCACATAAACACCCTTCGCAACCATCCTGATGAGCTTTTTTCTCCACGGAGAAAGCAAGTAAATATTTCAGGGTCAACAAAATTTGTCTTGGACTGTTGATATGTTTTCCCCAAGAGAAAGGTTAAGACTGACTTAAGACATCTCAGCTTACAAGGCCTACAAGGGATGTAGGGAAATTGGAAAAAGGCCTGTGTGATTTATTTTTCCCAAGTTGACTCCCAGTCGGGAAAATTTCCACTAGAGACGGTTTCCAATCGGCTTGTTATAGAAGGGTGTAAAAGACGTAACGATACAAGTAGATATAGTGATATACAACGTACCTTGAATTAGCATAACAACGATGACGGCCATTAATGTTACCTTTACCCACGACATCTGGTACCTGAAAACAAGTACCAAGCATTAGGCCCTTTCCAGGATGCATTGGGTTAAAGTTCCTTCTACATTTATACAGAAGCAAACTAATGGAAAAACGAATAGCTGGCACTAACATCTAAATTCCCGTAGAATCACAAATTGTTCATAAATCAAAGAGAATACATTGCGAATAATTCCGATCAACTTCTAAATTTTCACCATTCCCCAAACTATACCCATGGTAGCAGGGGGTAGCAAGAGGGGGCAGGGGGCCTCAATATTCTAAGGGGTTGCCAAACCAAAATATTTGCAGATGGTACTGAGTTTGAAAATGGGCACAGGTTGACTCTTAACCCTCTCTCCCATCACTATGTTGGTTTGTACATGTTTGTGCATTACCTCTGTACATTTCTTTAATATTGTCATTTCTATATGTTGGTAAGAAAAATGTTGGGCCCCCCAATGTCAAAGTCCTAACTACCCCCATGCATGGTAGGGCAGTCTAGAGCCACGAAATGGTTCAAGCAAGCGATGGAAGATAAAAGATTAGGTGCCAGTGTCTTGACTTTAAGGTTACCAATAGCGGACTATGTACTTTTAAATACTTGAAAATATCTCCATCGTTGTGGGATTTTCCCCAAATTAGAACTTTTCTTTGAGCCTTTCTTTGAGGAAATATCACGTGTATAAAAAGGGGAAATATCTTTACTATTATAAGTTTATTTTTGGGACAATATCATTACCATTACAGCAATGAAGAGTTGTGATCCATGAAACTGGAGTTGTGTCGAAACTCTAATTAAGTTACTCTTGTCTTACAAAGGTCTTCCCTTTCTTCATTTACAGGGAAGACTAATTTAACGAATTTTAGCTTATTTAGGTCAAACAGTTTGCCTTCTCATCTTACTTTGAGAGATATTTGTCTTCGCAACGACATGGAGAAAAAAAAGATGGTTGAAAAATTGCAGGATGAGTGGGGTACTGTTTGATAATTAAGGAGAGTTGACGAATTGCTGAAACGCAACAGAGTTTAGGCCCTTTCAAAATTTGTGAAAAAAGCTTCTAAGAAACTGGCAACATGAACACCACCATACATCGCTACTATGAAAAAGTGTTTCTAACCAATCTTCAATATTCCACTCATCGATTTAAAATAAAATTACTTGCATGGCTTTTTGATAGATCACCTCAACCCCTTCCCCCGCTGTTTGGTCCCTTTTTGCTACCCCCGTTTCCCGGTAAAACCTGAAAACCACGGAGAAAAAACCCAGCTAGATAAAGAGCAGAATAACTACTCAAATGTTCACAAGCAACAGCGAAAAAACTATCCTTCTGCCTGCTAGATCTTGGATTTTTTAAATAGCAAACAAAAAAAGACTGCTTCTTGGTGAATGTTTGATGAAGTTTCTGCTTGTATGTTTTTTAAATCTGTTTATCAAAGCGAAGATTTTCTGAGACATAGGATGAAAAAGGAATTTATGACAGAGATAACAGGCCATTCAAAACAGTGAAAAGATTTTTGAAAACAAACAATTATACCATTTTTCATTCACTTTTGAGCAACCTGTAAAAGATAGAAAAAATTAAAACAATCTTTTGGTGGTACAAAACTTGTAAATGGCTTTGAAAAAAGCAAACATTTAGTACACTAAAGCTTTTCGTCTGACACTCTTCAGAGTTTAAAACGTCAGAACATAGATCTAAAACTCTACGCTAGGAAATATATATACCCAGTTGTGGATCGAAATAGGCCAATCAGAAACACGAGCACATGACGACTGTATACGTTGACTAATCAGTGCCGCTTGCCTATTGAGAATGTTACCAATGGAGTCCTAAGGTGAAAACGAACTCCTTTTGTCTACACAGTAGCGGTTTTTTCGTGCTTATATAGATAGATTCTAAAACTGCTAGGTGGAACGACGATCGGGCTTTACCAATAATGGGTGCCCGATAGCAGAATCGCAGGCTGTAGCACTAAAACCTGCGATTCTGCTATCGGGCAGCATTTACTAGAAAACCCAGATTGTGCAAAAAACTATAATGGCGACATGCATCGGATTATTGGTAAGTCTAATGATGTTGTTGTTGTTACAAACCAACTGCTGTTTTGCATGCCAAATTCGAGTTTTTTCTTAGGGTGTTCTTGGGGTGTTCAGCCTATGATAATAATAATAATAATAATAATAATAATATATCTCGCCAAATCTCCATTTCGAAGCAGTTACTATAGCACAAATGCAGAATTGCCAGGAAAGACGTGATGTGCAGTAAAGTACCACAGGCTAATTTTCACTTAAGTTTGAAAAAGTTAAACCAATCTCTCGATTTCTATCAGGCCTTTTGCTTTGCTTTTGAGTTTTTAGCCTGTTCTTGGAGTGTTCAGTTTTTTAGAAACGACGAAAATCCTTGCCATGTGCAGTTTTGTTGTCATGCGAATGGCAGCAATCCATTAAATAAATGTTCAAAGCATGGAGAAATACCTGAAAGTTCTTTTGACTCTTGTGACAAATCGAGGTTCTTCTTAAGTGCATCATCATCTATATTGAGCAAACGTAAAATATAGGGAAGCAAGAATTAAGCAATAATTGCTCAGATTTTCTAAACCTGTTTCAACATTTCTTTGATATTTTGACACATTATAAACCCATAAGGCAGACGGTTAAATTATAAGAAAATAAAATATATCGCCCCATCCCAATGAATGGTGTCAAAATTTGTGTACTGTAGATATATTCTTAACGCATAAAGGAAACTTGATTATGTATCATGGTAAAATAAAAGTGGTGCAATTGCTTAAAACTTGCTTTGGTTTCAATTAAAAGAAGCACTCAAGAAACACAGCATTAAAAAAACACAGCAGAAAAGGCAGTCTCCCTTAAGTCCTACTAGGATTAGCTACTGATTGGGACAGATTAAAGCAACAATGATTTGGGGGTGTTGGACACTGATTGGATTTTGGTGCCACACCCTTCAGGTCAGTGGAAAATGATGGTAAAAATAAAACTTTGGTTTTTAAACTTCAGGTAAAGAAGATAAGGAGATAAATAAAGTAAATATTAGCATAATTTTGTTACTACCGATTACCATAAAACAATTTTTACCGAATGAAAGCAAAATTTACCAAAGAACACAGAAATATTGAGGTCACATTCCCTACATCCCTGCTAAATCTGTCCCTGGCTACTGATTTTAGCAAATCATTGTAAAAACCAGATAACCTAGCATGCCATTTTGTCTTTTGCAAATTGGTAAGATCCCTGTTTCTACTGAACGGAATAATGTCACATCCTGTCTTTTAGTTTGCACAGGTGTAAGACAGCTCATTGGGGGTGTGGGTTAAATTTTATTTAGGAGTCGGAAAATGCTATGCTTGAGATTATTTTGCAAGTAAAAGTTGACAAATTATTTATATGAAGAATTGGCCTTAGTCAGTTTTCTTGAAGCTAATGTCAGATAAACCCCAGTGATTGAAATATTTGAGAAGCTGTTTAGAGAAGGAACAATAGTTAATTTTATCCAAAGAAGGTTGTAGATAAGAAGATAGCAAGATGAAGGGATTTTCATTGAAAGGTTGAAACCTTAAATAAATATTGGTTTCATTTTTGCATATGGCTTTTCTTACGCACACCATTGAAAAAGGTTGCTCTTACGATTATATCATCAATGATGTCTATACATCCTTTAACGTTTTTAAATCATTAGTTTGCATTGTTTGATGGCTTAGAAAGGATGTATTATGGTCAGCTGTTTTTACCAAAAAATAATTAATGGCTTACCATAGCTGTCATCTGCATTGTCTATGCCTAGAACAGATATTATCTTATCATATACACATAAACAAATATGCAACAATTATTAAAGACATATTTCAATAAAAGTTGTTAACAACAAAAAAGTCTGCAAGGCAGTTCCATTATAATGTTTCTTTTGATTTAAAAACCATTTCAGAGCATTAGTGAGGTACCTTGTCCTAACCAACCAATGTGACATATATTAGCTTAAAACAATCGACAAATGCTGCAGGTGATTTCAGATAAATAGGTGATTTAAGAATCAACAGCTTCATGCCAACAAGACTGACATTTTCATGCTTCTTTTTCAAAATATTGGCCCACATACCTTCAGCAAATAGGAACTTAACAGCTTTCAAATCAGTAATATTAAGCTATATAGTTGCATTATTCAGTAACCTAGGAAGGTTAGAATTACTGGCAGCACAATTGTTTGAGAACAATAAGAACAAAAGTGAGTTTTCATTGAAAACAAATAATTTTCAAAATTTTGCAGGGCTTGACCACACCAAAGAATATAGTAGCTAAAAGCTTGTTATTAGTCTTGGTGCAGATTTTTTGGACATACTGTATAAAATATTTCATATCTAGTATATAGATAAAACCAAACGGTGTAAAAATATAAATGCTTGTATATTCTTAAATATTGTCTCAAATGTATCTTTTTTACTTCCTTTTTTGATGTGAAGAAATTTGAAAATATGAAACTGAACTGAACCAACCATACAAATGTTCTGGGGTATTTCTTATTCTAACTTCCCTTGTTGGCTTCCGAAATCCTTGGTCACGCTCAGGAGCCCTTGGTTCTTGGTGCCTAGGACCTTTTGGGGTCACCCTTGCTGTACCAGTAGTTCCCCTTGAGAGGCTTGATTTTGTTGGTGAAGTATTAAAAGTTGATCTTGCAGGACTCCTTCCACGACGCATTGTGCCACTTGATACAACGCAATGAACTGAAAAACAGAACAGCTAAAACCTTCACGAACTAAAAAGTTTAACAACAAGAAAGGACAAGACAGCACAGGACAAGACAAAACATCAGGGGTGTAAGCCTGAGTGACTGAGTGAGTAGAGTCTAAACTAAAAAGCACTGACTTAACTTCAAATCTTGTCACTTTGACAAATCTTTTAAACTCAAGATTCTACCTTTATAAATCGCAAGAAGAAACAAAATGCGCGAAATATGAAATTATGAGGAAATTATGTACGAAACAAAACTTATCATACTGTGTTATAAAGCATTAGAGTAAAAAACGACAAACTAGATAATTGATGATATAAAAAACCTCAAAGAATTTTTACACAGTCACCTCTAATGTCTTAGGCTGGTGTGGTGCGTCTTTTTTAAGTTTTTAGTTACATTTATCATTTTGCACTAATGTTGTCCTGTCCTCAACTGATTTACGTTCGACTGAATTTCGCGCCAGAATTCTCCTTCACAGTTACAAACAGCAAATGACAAATTCTTGAAAACGAGGTTTTTAGATTCCCAGTGGAAACTTGGTAGGTAACCTGTCACATGGTCACATGTATTATGCCAATGTTTTTCTGTCAAGTAAATACATTTGAGAATAATTTTGAGAAAAATTTGATACAGTAAAATGCCTGCTGTTCTTTGCGGCGGTGGGATATTGCCTGTTCAATTCATCACTTATTAAGAATCTATTTCGGCGATGGGATATCGCGATCTTATGTTTCAAATTATAGATTTGCAAATATATCAAAATGCGGCAAGACAAGTGCATAAGGCTACTGACATTGTTGGGCAGGCGTGTAACTGCACGGGGGGTCATGGGGGTCTAGACTCCTGCCCTTTTTCTCAAAAGGGGAAGTGCCCTTTTTCTTGGAGAATTGCTTGAATTTTTTTGTTATGGCACTAAAAAGAATGGTCATAAATGACAATCATAAATGATAAATGATTCAGTCAGACTTTCACGTATTTGTTGGGTCGAACGTGATCATGTTGCAGTAATAGAGCCTATGTTGATCCCCCAACTCTACAGCGTGTTTTATGATGCGCTACGCATTGGTTTGAAGAAGAATGGTTCTGGGACTCAAAAACCTCTACCACCACTGGTAAAAAAGAAACTACAAAAAGCTACAAAAAAGAAACCACCACATCTTTCAAGCTTGTCCCAAGGTACATAAAATTTAAAGGGTCATAGAGGACTTTTGCATGGAATGAGCGATGGTAGAGGAACTTTCGCGGATTGGTATCAGCATAAGCGTACGGGCCAGGGGGGCTGGGGGGCGGCAGCCCCCCAGTTTTCAAAAAACCATGTCAGTCGTACAAATTTTCAAAAATTATCCGCAAATAGTCGGGCAGAAATGACACTGGAAAGTGATGGGACTTAGTTTAGGTCATTTGGTTGAACATTCGTGGTATCTTCAAATAACCCAAAGACTGAAAGCTACGAGTCAATATCGTTGCATTATCAAATCGACCAAGAGTGCCTTAAAAATGATAAGATGGTTTTTGAAAATTACAAGAAGCAAAGCGTTTCTGAATCTTATGGTAATAATGCAGCAATGCTTGTCCAGAAGATGTTACAAGAAGGTTTGCATCAAGTACTGCCATTCCTGTATGAAACAACATTATTACTAGCAACGATTCCAGCAACATTTTGCTCAGCTGAAAGATCATTCAGTGGCCTTCGACGGCTGAAAACATATCTCAGATCAACCATCAACTCAACCTCCTCTCATCTGTAATGCGAAGCAAAGAATTCAATGTTCTTAAGGCCGTTCACATTTTACAAAGCAAATTGTCTTCGGATAAGGAAGATGACGGGCTGCTTTTCAAAAGTGAGCTGCCACTGGGAAAAGGAGATGACAGCAGGGCCACCGAGAGGTGGTAAATTGCCCTAAGGGCTGGAGGTCTAGGGGGTATCATAAAGCAATGAACTCCGTTTTAACAAGGAATTTATTATAGAAGTAAAAAATACACTTATAAAAGTAAACCGTTATGAACGAATGAATAATTTTAAGCTATTCGTAAGGGCGTGGCCACAAAATTTTTTTGCTCGCTTCGCTCGCAAGAGGCCTCGTTTTTTCAGTTCCCCCCTCGGGCCTCCCCCCACACATTTTGCTCTTCAGCGCAATAAGGATTTTTGCCAGGCAAAAGATTAAATTTTTGTACTCACTCTGTAACCTTTTTGCCACATTTGTAGCATAATAAAATTTCTGTGTAGTTTAGTTTCAAAGTATGGCACTAGAGTATTGACTTTGAAACAAAAGCGCATGAAAATGGCATGTAAGAGTTCCTATTTCTTGACCACACCCTTACAGATTGGGACACGCCCATATTTGTTGGCAAAAATCACCTCTTCACCCTTTCTAACAATTTCTTAGCTTCGCCTCTGTATACATCAACTATGTGTGATTTGTTATGCATACATTTTTATGCTTCCTTAAATGGTTTTGAAAGAGAGTGAAACATTGTTTCACCGTTGATTCTGAGATAAGATCACTATATTACAACAGAAAATGATTAGCGATAACAAGAATTGGCAATATATGTCTTGCTTATAAAAAAATGCTAAAATGGATTTTTATACAGGACAAAAAACTTCAACAATTGTTTGCTGCTATCAATGTTTATCCTGTAGAAATAAAAGATACTTAAAAAAAATTAAAATTAGATGATAATTACATCTTTAGGAATACAGTTGTTTTAAGTTTTTTCTAAAACATATCTTCTGAATATTATCACATTTTTCTGAAAAGTCCACCATATTTCTGATATCAGATATAAGCCTATCATCTGCTCGCACTATTGAAAACATTTCAAGCAAGAATTTGTTCACCAGTAAACTAAATTGTTAAATTTGATGTAGATTTTTTGCTTTGATCTCTATCTATTTTGGTCAAAAAAAAGTTGTTTATGCTTCAAAATAAATCTGAAGTTACCTAATGCTCTAAAAATCTCAAGCTTAAATTTGGCAACCAGTGCTGAGTATCCTTTGTGGCCAACTTCAATACACCGTTCAACAACAAAATGGTAGCAATTTAACTGATGTGCAAATGATTTAAGTGATGTGCAAATTCTTAGGTCCCCAGTATGTGTCTTAAGAGTTACAAAGGCAACTTTGATGAAAATGTTACTGACAATGAAATGAATTGCTACATTAGGGATGACACGAATCTTTTATTAAAAATTAATGTTGACCTGCATAGAAGGAAAAAATAAATGCACAAGCCCAGTGTCAAAGTTTGAACATGCTAATGGGCGCTGTTGCTGCTGAGCATCATTTTAGAAAAACGAGTCTCATCTGACATCTGTCAGGATTTTGTTCTTACGCTGAAACATTTCCAGTGTTTAATTGTGCTACACTGATTGTCTTGTTGCTATTTAAAGAGGCAAATCACAGTCTTGTTTTTAGTATCGCAAAAAGGACCTAATTCGGGAAATGCTTAACTGCAGCAGATGCTTTTCATCTCAGCCTGGAATATTTCTTAAGAAAGGCCTAAAATAAAGATTCTAAGGTTGAAAGATACGCGATGATTTTATGCATATCAAATAAATCGATTACGTATGTGCATTGATAATTTAGAGATTAAGATAATAAGCAAATTACTTGGAAAACACACCTATAAAAAACTAGAAACATGAGATAAGAATAATCTAGGTTAACTGTTAAATTTTGAACTTATCGGTCAGAACAGCCCAGGAGGGGAGAATGAATGTTAATACGATAATAAAATGAATAAGGATTCGTAACTGCCAATAGAAAAATATTTTTTCTAGGCCAGGCCTCCCAAAATAATTGAAGTTGCACAGCGAAACTTTTGCTGCTGTCAAAGACTTTAACGATTTGGAGAATATCCACAATGAATCTGCTCTCTAAGCTTCCAGGCACTGACGTTGATCGATTTTTTAATGAAAAAGGGAAGTCAGTTTAGGATGCCGAGTATCGAGTATGAAATTGACGTCAGGATATTCATAAAGAGTATGGAAGTGCTCCAAATAAACCTTCAACGGTAGATAAATGATCTAATGAGCAAGATAAGAAAGCTTGGGAAGAAAGAAAAAGAAACGCTCCAAAGCCTCATTGTCAGACCTGAACAGTTGCAAGGCGACATCAATGCCAAAGAGACACAAAATGAAAGAAGAGTAGCTGAAATTATGTGGCTTTCTGTAGGTTTGGTGAGGAAAGAAAGACACTAAGCAAGGGCATACGAAGGATGTTGAATGTTTTTGCTTTGCTCTGAACTTAAATTGACTATGCTATTTGAAGAGTGAAGGGACTAGAAATAGGGAAGAGGGAAAAAAGAGGAGGTGGAAGATGGAGGTACCCTGTGAACCTCCGTTATCTCTTATGAAGCTGCTCCCTTAGAAGTCTTATTATCAGTGGCGGATTCAAGGGAGGGCAACTAGGGGCAGGTGCCCCTCCCTCACCAAATTGAAGAAAGTCTGGCGCCCCTTTTTTAGAAGTTTTGCGCTCCTTTTTAAGAATCAGAATCAGGTGAAAAAGTTTCTGAGACTTTACCTCTTGAGATTAGGGTCACGTTGATATTCTAAAATGTGATGTAGAGAGCCTTCTGTCAGTAGTTAGAGTATGAAATTGTTGTATACAGCGTACACTCGTCATCAATTTCTGAAAATCTTTCAGCGCCCCCACTACCAACTGCCCCTCCTTCAAATCTGCTCTGGATCCGCCCCTGCTTATTATCTATGATAATCTATAAAGCTTTTAACGTGGTCAACGGGGAAACTTTTTAGTATTTTTCAACTAGATCCTTTATTTAAGAAATCTTTCACTTAGTGCAAATCATCATCACCACATACGCGTCATGCTATTGGTTGAATAGGAGCATAGATTAGACCTACATCCTTTGTCTTTCCAACAGTCTCAAACTGCCAGTTTTGTACTATACCAGCAATCAATCAATTGCATCATTTGCAAACAAATCTGCTGATCGTTACTTCATCAAGTCTCTCTCTAGGTGTCTTTCTGTCTTCCAGGAATGTTTTTGTATGAATTTTGATGTTTCTGCTGAGGATTTTCTCGCTGCTGTGTGTTGTAATGCTCTTCAAAGATTACCTAGATATAGTAACTTGCTAATTTAATCTAATCTGTCCTTTCAATAATTTGCTGCTTTCACTGATTTCGGTTAGTAATCACGAAGAGCTAGCTTATGTTCAGTGTTCTTTACAGCAGGTGGCTATTGATACTGTCTATTTCGGTATTTTCTTTGTTTTGTTGGAGTTTTACAGCTGGCTGCTATACACAATTATGCTAGTAACATATGCATTAAGCAAATTTACATTGATTTAATTTGCATTTTTGCGCTTGGAAGGATATACTTCTATTGGCTGAGAATACATGAATGATGGGTTTTTCTTTCTAGTAAAATTTTCATCTATGCTCACTACGGATGCTAGATCACCAGGCAGTTGGTTTATATTTTTATCTTCAAACTCTACTTTTTATCTTCATTTTCTTCATCAAATAGTTCATTTCTTTCAGATTTCATCTTTTTTATTTACTATAAACCTATCTAATTGACTGGGGCCTGACATTTCAATGTAACCAGCGTATTGTTTCCTTAAACCTTGCGTTGCTGTTGTTTCATGTGGAGTGATCCCCTTCATGCAGAAGTGGCGTGTAGTATCTTCCCCTGCTGTGGCAGATCCATCCTTTTTGGATTCATTTTTGCTCCATGACAGATGTGAACTTAGTTAAACATACAAGGTCCCTTTGTGGAAAACTCTTTCATTAAGTTTGCAATTGTATTGCTTCACATTTCGCCACCAGTTTAACATCTTCGGCGATGTGCAGCTCTTCTTCCTCCACATCTTTTATTAGATTTTGAAATGTACGTCTCTTAACTGTCTTGAAAGCTTCGCTCATATACAGATGTAATATTGCTTTTCATGTCTAATCTCTCTGCTAGTGATTAAGCTGCAAATGCTTTCTCTGTTGCTGTTCCTGTTGCTTATGGTAATGCATTATGAATGAGCAGTGCTATTTTTGTTCTAGATAACGAAATTTTGGTAGCAAAACGTTTGGCTAGTTTTAAAGCACTTTTTCATGGTAAATCATGAAGTCACCGCAAAAATATTCCGTTGTCCGAGTAAATTGCTTTTCAAAAAACTCACTGCTTGCCATTTTACCTGCATGCTTTCATATCAGCATAAACCATGAATAGCCATTTGACTTTTTCATGAGGGACTGGGTCGGTTCTTAAGATAGCCCAATATGGCAGCGATATCGATATGTGGTTAGAGGTACCTGTCTTCAACAATCGAACATCAAGATTGGACCAATGCAGAATATGAATAGGAATTTAATATATCACTCAAAATAATACTGTCGGTTACTAGGAGAGATGTGATAAACGTTGTTGAGACTTGTGATATCACCTTGCGCTGATGAAGTTATATATCACTGCATAGCAGCAGTCGGTTTCAAGAACCATAAGGCAGTGGAAAAAACATTTTGTTAAAGCCAGTATTTTGGAGATATTTCCAATTTAAGATATCCATTTGGTTCGCAAGAATAGTTAGAAAATAGCCCATTTTGCATTCATTATTTGATGATTTGATAGAGTAAGTTGAACAACCATCTGCTATGTCGACCAAAAAAAGCAACAACCAAGAGGATGCAGCAACGAAAAAAGCTGGAAGGGGTTTACAGCAAAAATCTGTGCAAATGGCAAGCAAAAATCCATTTGCGGCATGCAAGTCGTATTATGACAAACCTAGACCAGCAAATGAGAAGATTCCGTTTTCATGGCAGGATACTCAGTATCAAGATCGCTCAAAATCTGCCGATGAAGCAAAGTTCCGTTATCTAGAGAAGCAGTACACAAGAGGTGTTGTTGGCAGCAGTAATAGCTCTATAAACGGCGACATCAAAAACCAAACTAGATTTCTCTCAGCCCCAGTTTCAAAACGAGACCAACAGAGATCTAGCGAACGGCCTACGTCACCAACACCGGGGATATCCGTACCATCTGAAGAAATCAGAGATAAACCAGTAGAAGAGACCAGGTCAATCCCGAGAGGAGGCTCGCGAGATGCGCAACCCCAGGAATGGACAAAACAAAGAATGCATGAAAATAACATGGAATGGAGAGCAGGATATGAGGTTAGAAAGCGTGTAACAGTCTTTTCTAATATATTAAGTGAATCTCCGCAGCTCCGCTCTATTAGTAATGAGAATTCACTTATACTTTCAAGGTCAAGAATTGCAAATGACAGCGTAGGGTAAACCTGTTCCCCACTCGTACGTGCGAGGATGGCTCAGGGCCGCCGACTACAGATCAAGCGTCTGTCGTTCGAGCCCCTGGTACGACCAAACTTTCACCCAGAGCGAGGAGAGTCGCCGGCTCTCTATATTTTCAGGCGTTGGAACCACAAGGTGTAGTCACATATCGAGAGAAAGGACCAGGACACTGCTCGATAAGCACTGCTTCTCAGTGTCCTAAAAAGCTACCATTGGATGCTAGGTAGCAAAACAATGCAGTAAAAATATTACAGTAAAGACGAAAAAATCATGATTCGCATTTTAGTTTCACAGAAGGAGCAAATGGTGTTGCTTCAGTTAAGGACAGATCAAGCAAACCAACAAACACTTCACTGGCAAGTTGCGCCCAGCAAATTAAAATAGCATATTTCAATTATCAAAAGTACTTTTAATTCAGTTGCAACATCTTTTTTCACGATCGGTGAAATCTGTATGGAAAAATGACTTAATCAGCTCCTTCAAAATCGTTAACCTGCTCGATGGAAACTTGCTCGGCTAGAGATCAATGAAACCTCGTTTTTGACCTGGAAATTGGTATTGTATGGGCGTGGTATTTTCAAATGATTTTTTAAGAAAAAATGTGCTCCAGGTCACTTGAATATAACGTTTCATAGCTCAAACAGAAAGCCCTCTACGATAAAGAGAAATCGCTATAAGACCTAAGGCCAAGAGTAAATAGGATCTAATGCCAAAGTATCAACAGTCAAACAAGAACTGAATTTTGCTTGGAAAATAATACCCATCCCGACAATTTAGAATTACCATCTTTCTTGTATTCTGCAGATAGGCTTTGTGAACTACAGAGCAGCAATTATAAATGACACTTTCCAATAACAGCCAGCTTCAAGCAACAGACAAATAATTATTTTCTAGAGATTTATCCATGGTGGCAAAATCTTATGTAAGTAAATTTCTGAAAACGGACATCTTTCTTCAAAGGAAAAAACCTCTCGTCCAGTAGGCGACAACAATTTGAAAAATTCAATCAGAAAAGAATATAATTTCTTACAAAGGGGCCTTTTGTATATTTCTAATATAGTCCAAAGTGTTGATCTGGAAACTTGATTATCTTTTAGAATTGGCGTGGAAGGGCAGCACAGATTCATAACAACATGGCAAGAGAACTTGTAAGTAAGTTACAATCTTTGCTTGACAAAAAAGATTTCACGAGACAACGTGATTTGGAAAGAAGTGCTCGTTTTTTTCTATTAGGAATATGTGAAAGAAAGTATTCCATTAATAGCAGGATTTTTCTTTGACGAAAACTTTTAATTTATTATGAAAAAAGGTGCTTTCTAATTCTTATATCATATATACCAATTAGCCTTTGGCACAGAAATATTGAAAAGTTCACGGAAAAGTGGAAAAACAAATATACCGTAAATCCTCCAATCGACCAACCCCCCCCCTCCCTTCGGAAAAATCCCTTTCTCAAATAAGCCCACTCCTTAGAACCACAAATTGTCAATAGGCCTCCCTCGAATAAGCTCCCACTGCTACCGTAAATCGAATTGGCCCCTCTCGATTTGTTGATTTTGCCATCTGAGGTTGCCTTTGGCGTTTTATTGAATAACCACAAAAATTCATACTTTTGGTAATAATTAATTAAATGTTCATAAAGGAATTCCTACTGAAATATGCAAGGTCTTCTATTAATGTCTTATCAATATTTACTATAATTTTAAAAGTTCCCCCTCGTACAAGCCCTCCCTTAAATAACCCCTCTTCCAAAAACATCAAATATAAATAAGCTTGAAGGGAGCTAATTCGAGGATTTACGGTACCCTTACAAATAAAAGTAGAGGTACGTATGTTCTATCCATTTTCAGTACCAATTGGAAATTAAGAAAATAGAAGAAAATGAGTATTCATAGCATTCTGAGTACAACTTCTAGATCAAGCAAGGTCCATAAACAGAACCTCCTCTTGTAGGGGGAAATAGCTCGAAGCAAGGAAACCAATTCAAAGGATCTGCATAGGTAACACTTCAGCCAGTTTTTACTACCCGTTCTAAAGGAGATGTTAATGTTTGCTGGCGTTGGTCACATTTTAAGAGGCTTAACCCGTTTACATCACAGTTGATAGTATAATTAGATAACACCCAAATCTTTTTTGTTCTAGATCTTACAGTCTTTGCACCCTCCCTCCCCACTTTTTAAACTTACGTCGGAGGCCACAAAATGGAAAAGCTTCAAAAATTCTGTATTTGCTTTCAGGAAATCTCAATGGTAGAACATCCATACTCCTTTGAATGAAGAAAATGATGCTTGCTGATTGTCTTTCAAGAATAATGCAGCTTATTTTGCCTACATACAATGCCCTTGTTCAAATTTTGAAAAATACTTTAAATTTCCTTGCATCGAATTTCTAGCTTCAGATTTGGACAGACGACCAGAATTTTAGTTCACATAAAATACTTTGTAGGGGATTCAACAAACACTTACAGACTAAAATCCAGGTCCTTAATCCGAATTCAAAGTCCAAAATTCAAAACAAAGAAATTCAAAGTATTTTTCAAAACGTGTATTGCGGAACCAAAGATTTTTTGTTAGATTAATAAAGGTAAGATGTCTTAAGTAAAGGACTTGCTTGTTTATGGACAGTAATATGAATAAGTTCGTAAGCATATTGACGCAAAAAAATTCTCAACCACTAGGCAACAATTTATAAGTTAATTGTCATAAACTGACTAGGCCCCTTTTTAGAAACCTGATGATCAGAGATCTTCTAATGGGGGAGTCTTGGGGTCAAAATAATGATTACTTTTAATGATAATTTGCTAATACACCAGAAAGGGGAGATGAATCTTCTTTGTCTCCCTAATAAATGTGTCAGGTGTTTGTAAATTTACGTTATCAATGACCCTGAGATTAATTAGAGGTGAAGGAGAAAGAGAATGTCACGGAGCGACGTCATTAGTTGAATTGAAACTTTTCCCTTGACAGTTTCTCAGTTTTGGTGCGACAATTGTAAATAATTACAGTTTAATATTATCTTCTATCTTTCTATTCTATTCTTAAGTGCTTCCTATTGGAAGTTATTATACTAAGATCAAAATGAAAGTATTTCCATTTGTTTTAAAGGCATAATTACTGACTGGTATTTCTATACAATCTTCTTTTGAATGTGTCTTTGGTAAAGGAATTTTGAGAAGATGGGTATGATGAATAAGATGGAGCTAAAAACCGATGTTAGAAAGTACTAGCAATTCACTTCAATTTAGATTTGCAAGCTGGATATATGTGGTAGAGTGATCGTAAGAAAGCTAGGGCGGTAAGGGAAAAATCCCTTCTTTGCGACAAACTGAAAATAGCTTTCTGTCCGACTTTCGTGAATCGAATCAATTCCATCTCTTTTGCTTGAACCTTTGTCAAAGAGACAGCCTCTTTAAACCAGTAAGATTTAGTCAAACTATGATTTAGTCGAATTCGATTTTACAAAATCTGTTTCGAAAGCTTTGTATCAAGTTGTTTCTGCACCTTCGATTATTGATTATTGATTTGAAAAAGTAAGAATCTTCACAGCAAAAGAGGAGACTAATTAAAGTGAATATTTGAGGACGAGTGATGAACGATATTCTAGTGATCATTTTTGCATTCTTTTCCGTGTTCTTTTGGAATTTAGGCTGCCATTAAGCCATGCAAAAAGTGTCAAAATTGACACTAGATAGAGCGAAGAATTGAATTTTATTTCAATCACCATTCGATTTAGTCAAATGAACTAGAAAACTTTTAATTAGTGAACAATAGGATTCGACATTCTTATGACGCCTTGCGATTTTTCCTCATACACGATTAGATAGAATAGAGAGCGACTGGCCCCTGCCCTGAAAGGCGCATTATTATAGCATCGGCTCATAGACACTCATGAAGGAAAACTACCCTATTCTTAATTAGATTTAGTCGCTTACTCGACGAAATTTGCACTACAGGGTGTAGTTTAAGTTGATTGACTGAACGCAGGATTATCGGGAGCCTTTCAAAGTTTGGAGGGGGGCACAGGTAGGAAGGGGCACCATAAAACAGAAAAGGGCGCTTGTTGTAGAAGTTACTTTTTAGCAAAGGAAATTTCCCAGTTCCAACAGCCAAGAACTCGTTTCTAAAACGCCAATGATCATAATATATTTTTCAAATTTTTCCAAGTTTCAAGTTTCTGGAAATCTTGTGTTCCACTGGGTTATAAATCTGAATAGTTTAATATATGGATATTCTGAACTGCTGGAAAGTGAGTTTTTCAAAGTATTATTGCACGAAATTGATTCTTATAAAGATGATTAGACATTCCAGTAATCCCTAAATAACAAAGCTAGTTGAATTTATCGCTGTTGTAATATAGAAATCAAATAAATGTGCGAATCAACTTTCTCAAGAGCAAGCAATATTGCATACGAGGCTTAAATACATGTAAGGTATACACCACTCATGTTTTATGCGTTAAAAAATAGCACACCGCAAAAGTTGGTCATCAGGTCGTAGTTTAATATTTGTACTAAATTTAACAACTCTTTTGATTTAAAATTTATTTAATCGGTTGATTGTTTTGATTTTTGCTAAAGTCATTTCACGGACAAGCTTCAATCTTCAGAACTGAGTCCTGGGATCTGTGTATGTGTCAATCATGATAGGAACATCCAATTTTTAAAAAAAATCTATTTTCAGAAACATATTTCAACCTTATCTAAATGACAAAACCAGAACAAATTTTACAACAGAGCTTCCACAAAATTCATTCATTTGATAAAATTTGTTCCTATCACGGGACAAATTCATTACCCTTGCCAAGGGTCAGAATACTTTTGGTCAAACTAATCTTTGGACCTGAAACTCCTTTGTGAGCAGCTATTTGAGAATGATAAGGGAACAATTTGAAGGGAGCACCACTGGGAAGATGAGTCATATCTCAGTGAGTCAAATTGGACACTGTGGAGGAGTATACAAATGGAGATATCCCCAGGTGAGTCTCGTTGCATTGTGGGGTGGCTTGGTGATGCCTGCTATGATAAAGTCATTTGTGGCAAATCCTTGCCACTCAGGAATAAATAGCAGTCGAGATGTCTGATACGATCGGTGATTATTGATTTCAAGATGATAATTACAGCGCCTAGAACGAATTAATTCAAGGTTTCTCTTCCAAGTTACTTGCAACTGGCGTTTCTTATCAATGTTTGAGAGATGGTGCAGGAATATCAATCACCCGTTAGGGTGTACGAGCACCCATTTGAACTTGTTATGGCGGTATGTGTATCTAAATTACTTATGCTCTGCAATGTAATTTCAAGTAATTTTGGCTCATTCAGGTTTTCTATCCTGATCCCCGTGATTGTATCGCAGCCAGCCTTTATGAGGAATTTAAGCCACGCAGTAACCTACTTCCCTTAAAGATTTGTGGCCTATCCCTATTATTAGCTCATCATAAATATAGCACCCGGTGTTTGAACTTCGGTAATGCATACATACACGAAATTTGCGATGAGTTCTTCCAGGCTCTTTATGAAACTTTGAATGTTTCGGTGGATTCGAAATTGCAGTTCGGTTGCTAATTGATTATGCGAGAGAAAGAACTCGATTATAACCGACACAGGTAAATCTCTTCCTCCACACTTCATGATTGAAAACAATGTGACACTCCTTTGCATTTAATCATTGAAAATCTCCCGGAAACCTGTCCCAACAGGAACTTATCTCCTGTGTGCCTTTCGAAGACGAGTTTCTAAACTCTCCTATAGCATCACCTAATTTTTAAAGTTATTTTGATATATTTTGGATGATTTTTCCTGGTTTTCGTTTCATTATAATGAATGTTTCGTCCTCGAAAATTTCATTATTTCATTCAAAAGTGTATACAAAAATACGTAAGGTTGAACAAATCAATAGCCTCGGCCTTAAAGCTAAAATATTAAACTTTTTCTTTGTTTTGAATCTCAAACGATGTCCGCACAAAACAATAAAACGCTCTTTCATTTTCGCAAAACATAATTTGTAGCTCCCCGCGAGGTGAATTCATTCATCAGATAATTTATAACGACGTGTGTAGCAGGGTGAATAATTCGCGTAATTTCGATTGGCTTGGCTTGCAAATCGAGTTTGAAGTTGGAAAAAAATTGATAATAAATTACGGAAATCATCTGATTTTTCATCTAAAGTGTTGGCCATATTTCTGCTGATTTTTGGAAGAATTTGAAAATGTCTGATTTATGCTGAAACTACTTCATTTTTCCGCTTAAATAAGTAAAGAGAAGAAAACCAATTGTCAATGTAATTCCAGACAGAAAAACCAGAATTTTCACTACCTACAATTTAACATGCAAAAACTAGACTAATTTACTTTACACAAATTGACAAAATAAAACTTTTATAATACTATTAGTAACTTATAACAACTGTTTTGAAATAGAAATAAAATTAAAGTAGAAAAACTCTAGGGAAGCAAGAAGAATTGTAAGTGGTGTTTAATAATTTGCATTTAACAGTTTCTAAATCATTCTGAGAGTAAGAAAAATTTTAAAAATTCTGAAAGTAAGAGAAATTTGAAAGGTTTGAAAATCAATGTAACATTTTCGGCTTTGGTTTTGTCGTAACTTTGGAGGTTTAAACAGAATAATAATGCTGTAAACATTTAACCTAGCAAAAGTGAATTTTCCTTTCAGGCTTATGAGAAGAGGTTCCCTACATGTCCAATGATACCAGCATTCCTTGGCAGTGAAACTGTTCATGAATACAAAAGTGATGATGGTGCTATCCATATCATTGAAAGGAAATGTAAACTTAACGTTGATGCACCATACCTTGTCAAAAAGGTAGGGAAATTGCCTTGATTCTTAATTGATATATATATAATATTAATGGTTCACTGCAAAATTGCAATGTAGGCACATGCTTCCGAATTTCAAGAAAGGTTTCTATTAAACTCCTATTTTAATTTTGTGTGGTCTAAGTACATGCTTCTGAATTTAGGAAAGGTTTTTGTTCAATTGCCTTGTGATTTTTGTGTCTAGAATCAAATATCACTTGGGGTCTGCTTCAACACAGAATTAATTCATTTTCATTACCAGTAAAGCTGACTACTGAGTTTTCATAATTTTTGAAACATTTGCTGATTTGGGGATATTTGTCAGATAATCTTTGCTAAATGCATGAGATTATGACTTTTTAAAACAATGTGTAACTATGTCTTGACATGAATTGATAATTAATGAAACAGTTAAGCCTGAGATCAGGATCAAGTTGTGAATTTCACCTTATGATGGTGGAACAATGTTCTGATCCAGAGGTATAATTGAAACAAAGGCAAAATCTATCACAAATATAGATAGATGGTACTTAAAGTTTTGTTGTTTGAAAATCAAACATTATTACTTAAACACTTCCAAGCCACTAAAGTCTACTTATGGTAAAGTAAATATATAGTTTGTAAGTCTAAAAATAGCAAAACTCTTGTGCTCAAGATATTGGTCGTTTTAATAATTTTATGTGACAAAATTAAGTTGACTTTGGTATAATTGCTGATTGCAGAATGCCAGAAGTACCATTTTTTCTTAGGTGCATGGCCCCTTCTGACCACCAAAAGTGCAAGGCCTAGGGCTGTGGCACTGGCCCCCCTAAACCTCCCCTAAAACTGCCAATGCACAAACAATGGTGTGACCAGGCAACAATGACAAACAAGGTCTTGCAGCTTTGAATCTTAACGTAAATTCAAATTCCTTTGTAAAAGGTTTGAAATTATCACCCAAATCAATAAAGATCAATAACAAAAACGTTTACTGAATAATTGGTATTAACAGAAATATCTTCAGAAAATGGCTTTTTGAAATCAAAATATCTAGTTAAAATCATAAAAAAAATTTCAGTTTTGCATCAGCGTTGCAAGTTTTATTGTTTTAATATACCAGCCAATATAGTTGCTTAAATAAAAGTAAATATGGCTCTCTTAGTTTTGAATGATTTGTATGCAATCTTGCTGGAAATATTTTTGAATGTGTGGTTGCAGCATTGCAGAAGCTTTTGTTTTAATGAATCAATTAACTTGAATGAATTCAAGCATTGCAGGTTAACTATAGAATTTATATAATATTCTTGGCTTCCACATGAATTATAAATTAATTATAATTTTTTAAATTTGACATTGCTTTCCAAATATTTTCTTTTTAAAAAACAGTAAGATCTGTATTTCTAGGTCAGAAACTGAAGTGATTATATTAGGTATACCTTTGATAAGTTTTTTATAGGCTTTAAGTTTCAGACCTTACTGAATAATTAACTAAGAATTTTTCAAATATGTTTTTGCTTGAGCTGTTAGTGTTTTTCAAGGGCAGACACTCCAATTATCATATGGGCTAATGTCTAATGGCTATTGTCTAATGGGCTAGTTGACTGAATTACTAAATCGTTGTCGCCTAAGCTAGGGTCATGGTACCCACTCTTACGAATATGATATTCAGCAACTATCGAGATTTTCTTTTTAAACCTTAATTTTTTGCTCACCAACCACAGCTAATACAGCAAACAAATATTCCAACAGGCCAAGCTAATGAAATTTGTTGCCAAAAGGCCATTTGATATGGACTTCTTATGAAAAACAAGTGAAAGATTTCAATTGAATGATAGTATCCCATCCTGTTGTGCATCAGTCTAGTAATTTTGATTCTTGATTTTTGGCTGCAATAACAGAAGATTGCTTTTATGCTTCCTCTCAGTCGCCAGAACAATTTCACTTGTTTCTCGCCCTAAGGCTGGCTCACCTTTGTTACTTTGGTAATAATGACGTCAGGGTTGTCAAATACACTCATTTTTTATAAGAAACTGGCTATAAGAGACGGATACTGGACAGTCAGAAAAAATTAAGAAATTCCAGTACTCGAAGCAAAAAAAATTAAGAAACTATTAATTCGTGATAAAACTGAGAGCAACGAAATTTTGTAAAATCCAAGAACATGATTGCCCTGTTGACCTAAAATTTAAGACACAAGGGATAAAAATATACTTCCCACATCTTAATACAGCATCAGAACGGACGCGAATCTCTTGACGTGATAAAAAGGTCACGAACATTTCATAATATCATTCGTGACATCATAATTGAGAAACTCTTAAGAAACAATTGAGTATTGAAATTTCCGTAACATTAAGAAATTGGAGTACTCAACATCGACCTATGTTTCTTATAAGAAAAAGAGTGTATTCTTGAATTTCGAGAAAATTTGTTAGATTTCCAAGTTCTATAGTTTTTGTTATAAGTGCGTTTTAACCATTTCCAATAAACAAAGCTATTACGAAACATCAAGGAATTTTTCGAAACCAAGAAGTTTACAAACCATCAACATTTTTGTTTCGTCTAAGCATATGTCTAGTCAAGTTATTCTGTAAAATTGATGATCATAATAATGCATGCTATATTTTATGAATTGAATTGTTCTGTTTATGAAATATTTATGAATCCTTTTCTTAATTATTTTTAAAATCCCTTAAGATCTTTGTCAAAAGTTTCTATTCCTCAAAAGTTTCCTCCAGGATCGTAAATTCCTCGGTTGAAGAAATTTTTTCAAAAATGAGCATCGGGACAGTATTTCGTTCTGTTACGTTAAAGCTGAAACATTTTGCAGACGTGAAGTCTATTCATGTACAACTTTGGTCATATAATAAAAGCTAGATGACAACTTTAACGATGACGCCCTGACACTCTTTAATGAATTATGTTTTTATTTCATTTAAGTTCACTGACCTAGTCTGCCTACGTGCCTCATTAAGCCAGAAGATTTTGTAACAATAATTTTTTACCATCTGCTTCTTGAATTTCAGAATTTTTATCTTATGATTCGCATTTTAGGTAACCTATGACGTTCATTCTGTGGTCAATCCTTTTGTTATGGTAGACATTTGTTGCACACAATTTGAATCCGCCTCAATTAATGAACTGCCTGTACTTGAGGACTAAAGGCCTGTGAGAAAATCGTTTCTTGTGAAGCTTTCATTCGCCATTTGCTGCGTCGACAGTATTCTAGGGCTGTTATCACGATAAATCGTTTCAAAATCGCATTTTCAGTGCTCTTCATTTGCTAAATGCATCCATTTAGCTAAATTTCACTCACTTTCTTTACATCATTGTGAAAATGTGGAAGAACAAAAATTCCATATTCCTCGCTTAAATTTCTAATTTCTAATGGCTCATAGATCGTATTCAAAGAACAAGTTTTTGTGCTGAGAATTGCACAAAATTAAATGAAGCAGTTTAATACTTCGTAGCATTTCAGAATTGTTTCAATATTTTACTCCAATTTGATTAAAGAAGTATGTTAACAACGCGTCAGCTACGAAAGAAGAAGATGAAATAAAGCTTGTCTCAGCTATTTTGTGATTGTTTTGTTTAAGGATATGTATATCAAAGCAGAAAATTCATGGTTTAGACCGAAGGACTTCGTTTTGTAACTTCGATTCTTCGATGTTTAATGGCGTCGTTTGGTCTGGGAAAGAGCCAATTACATTCTTAGGCATCATTTGCCCTCTCTGATCATTTTCGAACCTCAATTTTCGATCCACATCTTGATATGATTTTCTGTTCTTCTTTTTGGTCATAGTTTGACATTTTGTATTCTAAAAGGTGTTTCAAATTGCTATTTACTGATTAAAATGTTATAATGCATATGTTATATGCACTGGCTTTTGCAGATGTTTTCGGAAGATGCTAGAAGACCAGGAGAGTTTGTTTCTAACACATTTGCTTGTTGTTTAGTGATCCTTTTACTGAATCTGCCAGAAGGAGCCTTTAAACAATTAAATTCGCAACGCAGATGTTTTTGCTGTGTAAAAATATGTTTATCTGTTTTTTAATCGGTCTTTCTTGAATTAATATTTTCTCGTTTCTGCACTTAGCATCAGGAATTAAAAGCTTATTTCCGGCTCTGTTTCAGCGGGAGCTTGGAAGAATTTGTTAAATCAAACTTTGGAGAAAGCATAATTAAAAAAGCGATTGCAAGCTTATCTCAACATAAAAAATAGGGGTTTCTCACCAAGTCGTCTAGCAGTGATTTGGTGTGTTTATTAAACAGTGCCATACTGCTTCTAGATTTCGTTTGTGCGTTTCACCTGTTCTGTACTGCTTGATCAACGTTTATTTTGTTGAGCAATCTATGGAACCCAACTGAAAATTGCCCCTTTTGGCTATTTCTAGACTGGGGCTCTTTCCCCAAAGCCCCTAACGCCGTTATTACAATATCTCTTTTAAAAGTAGGTGCAATAGCACGAAAATTTACAACAGGGGGCAGTTCGATACGGTACAAAAGATAGTATATAGAACCTAACTGAAAATTTCCCCCTTTTTCTATTTTTAGACTAGGCTATTTTGCTCCAGAACCTTTCAGTAATATCGCATCTCAATCATACTTTAGTGCTACGACACAAAACTCTGCAATATAGGACAGTTTGATACGCTGAAAAAGATTATGTTATTCTTAGAAGAATTTCAATTTCAACACCTCTCTCTCTCTGTTTCTCGTTTCCGAATAGATATGATATCAGTGTAAAACATGATCCTTTTTGAAAAACTGTGTTGGTCTAGGTTTGCGTTTTGCAGATAAGATTGTAGTTAATCAACGTATTTACTTTTTGTGACAAAATATAGGATGACTTTTTCTCTCATTTCCCATCATCATTTTAAAGTTCATTGTTCCTGGCTAAATAAGAACTGTTTTATATTTTTTAATTTGACATTTCATTTTCACTAGCAGTTTTAAGTTTTGTCTCTTGATAATAAATCGCATATGCATTCAAACAATTCGTTTTACTGCGCAAGTTTTTAGGCCCCATATGAATGCATGGTGACGAGTAATACTCTGTTATATCTCTAGGTTTGAAAAGCCTCCTGGAAATTTTGTTTAAAGTCACGTTCTATTTCTCTTTATTTTACGTTTTTATTCCGACCATTATCCTCATTTATAGAAATTTAGATAACAGTTTTTTTAAACTTATATGTTTTAGATTGCTGGTGTGGACTACGTATACTTTATTCAAAGAAACAGTTTGAATCGAAGAGACAGGACTCTGAAGATTGAAGCATGGAACGATAGCTTTGCAAGCCGAGTTGAAATCAAAGAGCACTGCTACTACAGCGTGAGTATTTTCATTTTTGGTGATTATGACTAGTCGGGCTCAATGACAAAACCATAGAGTTGTTCTGTATTTTGCCTATCCCCCACCTTCTTTAAGCTGAAATTTTCAAGATGTGCCGATTTCGTTTATTTGCATCTTATCAAAACTTTTCATAAAAATATAGACGTTGTTTGTAGAACTACTACTTAGCACCGAAACACCAAATTACCTTCTTTCCAGATGCAATCGTTCCCCTCAAGTATTAGCATCGTTGTGTACTTTGCCTATTCCACTAAAAACTACGAGTGCCCAATTTGCATTCTCAACATGTAAGAAAAATCCTGTTGCTTTTCGGCTTTCCGATTGCTGTTGTTTTTGTTACCCGAATATATTTCATCAATTTATTTCTGCAAACAGAGCAGATGTTAATTGTGCCAATTTTCTCGTAAGGTCCTCTGATTTCAAGATTTAACAATATCAAACCGCTATGAATCTCAAAGGGTTTTCACATATGTTTTCGCCTTATCGCAATCCAACTGTGTGATTCGCTAAGCGCAATTTGCAATTCTTTAACCGATTTTGGTAAGCTCGATTTGCCGATCCCTGTATCATCATTTTACCTTCAGCTCTAAAATGTTGATTAATTATTTCAGGTGCACCAAGAAAATCCTAGCTGGACTGTGTTTGAACAAGATGCTAGTCTTGATGTGAAAAACTTTTTCGGATTCGAAAGTGCTGTTGAGAAGCTGGCAATCAAAGCGTACACAAATAACCTCAAAAAGGTGATTAAGTTCTTAAACCAAAAGATTTGGAATGAATGGCAAAATCGATATTGAAATCGTATAAAATGCCATGTCATTGAATCAACATAGGTTTTTTGGCATGTCCGTGTCCAAAATAAATTTTAAATATTTATGATTGAGAATGTTCAATAACAATAACCTGCAATCTGATAGAAACCTGCAAGCGTGTTAAAAAATAAAGAAACTTATAAAAGTGTTAATGCTTTTTGGCAAAACGTTTTTAACGAAAATAGAACAGGACAGTGTTAGGTTTTTTGATTGATTTTCCTTATTTTGATTTTTGAAAGGTGATCGAAGTCATTATTGATTCTGGCTTCAATCCGTGTTGTGAAGAAAACGTTTTGCCATGTTGCTATGACCAGTCTTCACTAAGTTTTGTACAAGGTGGGCTGAAATTGATCTATCGAAAGAAACCAGCAGTAGTTAGGCCGCCTGATGGATTTGTGTTGTGAAGAAAATAATGACGATCAGTAGCAGTCAATAGAATGTAAAGAGAAACTACTTGTTTTGCAAACAATAAAAATTATTATAGTGAGAGAAATATTTATACAGGGTAAACATTGACAATATTGCAAGTACTGTGATCAATAAAGGCACTGTTTGAAAATTGAAGAAAGAGTAAAGCCAACAATATGCAAAGTAAAAGCCCGAAGGTGTTTTCAATATTCAACATTAAAATCCTGTAGTTAGTTAGATAATTATAATAATTGCAGATGATTTTTGTATTCATACCGAATTATTGCTATTACTGGTGTAAGATCCAGACCCCTAATAGAGTTGTATGCTTGGTAGACAACAAAATGGCGTGTTCAATTGTGGCCTACCTACAAATGTGATATTTGTTTATTGGAAAGTAGATATTACCAATATTTCACCCTGGCATACATGACATTTCATTTTTTGTGAATTCTCAAAATTGGTCTTGTTAATATTTGTGCAATTTGGTTTCTGTATTTTAGGGAAAAGAGATTATACTTCACTATATTAAAGAACTGATCAGCCAGGGCGTAACGCATATACCGCCGTTTGAGTCATCGAAGGGTCGCCCCAGGCTTCTCAGCACTGTTGAGAAACAGAGCTCCATCGAAAGACCTGATCTTGAGGAGACTATTGAGAGCGAGGCTGAAGACCAACCCGAGGAACCTACATTCCAACCACCAGCAACAGAAATTCACCCTGAAACTATACAGGAAGCTGTTGAGCCCCCACCTTTGCAGGGTAAGCTACAAGTCCTGTCTCTTTTTATTTTAATTGACACTTGCTGCACACAAAGTAATTCCTTCAATCCATAAAACCTGAACGGTCATATGCGAAATGTCGTTTTGATATGAGTATCATTTCACTCTGTAGTGGTTTTTAAGGGGTCTCGAGGGGGAGGAGCACGGTCTATGTCCCAGCGCTTCTTGTAGCCAGAAAGGGGTCCCGCACTTTAGAAAAGAAATCAAAATTGTAAAGGGCCCAGCAGATATTTTTGGCTATTCGTGTGCAGATCAAAAAATTACAATTGAAGGTAGAAATGTGTCTCAGGTCAGTCTGGACTCTCACTGATCGAGATTTTCAACCCTCAGAAGATAGTAGGCCAAGCTATCAGAGTCAATTTTCGTCGTGAACCGTAAAAATAACTGGTTTTCGTTAAAAGAAACCCGCCTGTTTTTTCAATTCTCCGGACGATAACCTAACAGTGTGCTATGCTTGCTGATTATTTCGCCTACGTAAGTTAGGTAGCATTTTTTAAGAATGTATGTTTAAGTTATTTGGAAATTATACCGTGTATGTTCTTTCATTGAGGCCACTTACATATTTATTTAATTCATGCGACTTTGGTTTTTAATCTTGTTCTAAACATTTATTGCGGTTCAAACATGTGCAAAAGCTGAGGATATTGACCGATCCAATACAATTTTTCATGTGAATAGAGACTGTTGTCAGCCCGTTTAAATGATCGGCATATCAGGAAGCTGAAATTGCTTCTCTACCATCAAGACAATTTATCAAAACGGAATATTAGTGAAAGATACTTAAAAAACGTCGTTTGGCTACTCTTTACCTTTCCAAATGCATCACTGTTTATTTTTAGGGGCATTAAATACGGTCGTATGATGTTATACCGTGACATTCTCGGGTTTCTTACAATTTGAAATCAGTAAATGTTATGATGAATATAAGAAGCACTTTTTAGTTTTCAGCGCCGACATTCCAATTTTATTGATGATTTTAGTTTTTTAGAACCGTTAAATGGTGTGATTCTTTGAACTTGTTTATGCATAGGACCAGTGGCGTTGTGGCCACTAGACTCGGTATACCCATCTTAAACAAATTATTGAGTCCATCAAGAAAGTGCTACCTAATCAGAGCCTTTTTAGGTAGTTCCTTTGTCCCTTGTCACCCGCTGCCCGCTTTTTGTGTCAGAACTGTGTCAAGATGGCATTTCGGAGGATTGACTAATCGTATCCCTTGTACTTGACATATTTTTCTGGCTAATCGGAGGTCAAAGACTTAAAACATTACGTTGATGAGAGACCGCAAACCCAGTCCTGAGTTGCCGCCTCCAGTTGTAATTTGGTCCTATGGGATCGTTAGTAGTTGTAGGCCATGCCGCTGTTTTATCAGAATTGCCGCAATGGAACCAGGTGTTCAAATATTCTAAAACGCCGCTAAATGCCTTCATTAACTTGTTTTCCATATATGTGCCGGTGTTCCAGAGATGGACAACAACCGTTTCTGATGTTCATCCATTATTCAGGAGAAAGACATCTATAAATTATAAAATGATGAAGATGGTGCAGTCTTTCAATGCTTTCTTTCTGACATTTCAAAGCTTTTTTAAACTTTTATTAGTAAGAGCAACGAGTTTTGGGTGATAAACAAGCTCTTTTAGCTCATGGCTAGGCTAGAAAACAGTATTTGCCCGATGTCGGGTCTTTAAAGGTCTGAGAAACAAACATACGAGTGCATAGTTTTCTCTATTCCAATTGCATTGGAAGCGAAAATCTTGAACTTCAAGTAATCAGGGATCCTCAAAGATCCATTTTAATCGTGCTACAATCACTTTTAAAAGTGAAGAAGTATGGAACATTTGTAAAGTATTTCACCAACCGAAAAAAAATCAACAGACTACTCCAATGCTGAAAGTTTCCTCAGTTTTCGGTTTTTTATTGTTGGAAATATAAAATTCCTGTAAAGAAAAAATATTTGTTTCATCTTGACATCATGTTCTCCAACGACATGGCTAGCTCCGGTTATTCCTTTGCATTTTTCTTTGTTTATCTCTGATAGGTCAGTAATTAAACATCTTTTATATAACATCCGATAAAAGTCGATCGAACTCAAATATTACCCTTATCGATAATAATAGGATGATTTCCAATGATAAGGAAGTTGCAGAAGCCATGAACGATTATTTTATATCGATAACTGACTCATTAGGTCTGACAGGGAACAGGGAGGTTACCATAAGTACAGATGGTTTATCAGATCCTATAGAAAAGGCTATAATGAAATATTCAAAACACCCTAGCATTAGGAAAATTCGCAGTTTTGCTCGAATTAAAGGCTACTTTAAATTCCAAGAGGTTACTGTGGAACAGATACACTCTGAAATTGAGGGGCTTAATCCTAAAAAGGCAACAACCTTTGGAAATATACCCGCGAGAGTGCTGAAAAATAGCTCTGACATTTGTTCCGAATCGTTGCAGCTTATTTTCAATAACTGCATTCAAAATGGTGTCTTTCCCGACCTATTAAAACTAGCAGATGTCACTTCCCTCCACAAATCGGAGGAGAAAACCAATAAGAAAAATTACAGACCGGTTAGTGTACTACCAACTGTTTCAAAGGTTTTTGAGAGACTTATGGATAAACAGATTATTGATTATATGCAATCGTATTTATCGTCACTTTTATGTGGTTTTCGTAAAGGGTACAATGTGCAGCACGCATTAGCTCGAATGCTTGAAAAATGGAAAGCAAGCTTAGACAGGGGAGAAAATGTTGGCGCAATCCTTATGGATCTCTCGAAAGCCTTTGATTGTATTAAACATGACCTCCTTATAGCAAAACTAGATGCTTACGGATTCAGCCATGAAGCACTGTGTCTTGTTAACAGCTACTTGGAAAATAGGCATCAGAGAGTTAAGATTAATGGATCATTCAGTACCTACAAACAATTGCTCCTTGGTGTTCCGCAAGGATCAGTTCTTGGTCCCCTCTTCTTTAACATCTACATAAATGACTTACTTCTCTCCTTAATGGATACGGATATCTGCAATTACGCGGATGATACAACTCTATATGCGTGCGATAAAAATCTCAATAATGTAATTGCAAGGCTAGAGAATGACTCAAGTACAACTATCCAATGGTTCGCTGATAACTTTATGAAGTTGAATACAAACAAATGTCATTTACTTATTCTTGGCAAAAGTTCTAATCAACAGGTTAAAGTTAATGTAGGAGATTCTATCATAGAAAACTCGGAAGAGGAAAAGCTACTAGGTGTTGTGATAGACAAAAAACTCAGTTTTGAGACACATATCAGTAAGTTATGTAAGAAGGCTGGTAGCAAACTCACCGCCCTCGCTCGCATATCTGGATACATGGACGCTAATAAACTTAAAATCTTAATGAGAGCATTTGTAATTAGCCAATTCGAATATTGTCCACTAGTCTGGATGTTCCACAGTAGGCACTTGAATAGTAAGATTAATAGAATACACGAAAGAGCTCTGAGAATTGCATACAAAGACTATGATTCTAGCTTCAACACTCTGCTAGAAAATGATGGCTCGGTAAATATTCATGTAAAACACCTGCGAAATCTTATGATTGAAATGTTTAAAACAAAGGGAAATATCAACCCTCCTTTTATGAGGGAGATTTTCTGCGAGCGTCATGCTGTTTATAATTTGAGAAATAATAATGAATTTATGGCACCAAGAGTAAGAACAACCATTTATGGAACCGAAACTATCAAATATAGAGGGCAGCGTCTTTGGCTCTCTTTACCTCAGCACATAAGGAATGCTCAGTCTATTAATGAGTTTAAGAAAGAAATTAAAAGCTGGAATGGCACAGACTGTACATGCAAACTATGTAGGACGTTCGTGCCACAGCTTGGTTTTTTGTAATTCTATCTTTTAAATAGCTCAGGTTTTTATAGTTTTTTAATGGATCATTTTGTATTTAAAATTTTATGTATTTAATCTCGTATGTATTTAGTTGATGTAGTAGTTTTTAACAGTTGGCTTGGATTAGCTCATTTCTTTGTAAATAGCTATGTAGCGCCAACTTTAAATAAATTGATTATTATTATTATTATTATTATTATTATATATTTCCTCTTTTATTCATATAGACAACTTACTTACCTAAGATGCACCAGTTGAATGTATTTGGTCTCTATTTTCTATATTTCACAATTCTTCAATGAAACTTTTAATTCAATGTGTGTCGCAGCCTTTGCCCATTATTTAAGAGCAAGAAATCTGCTACAAACTCTGAAACTAACAAGAAAGACTAGGGATTTGTACGGGCATATTGCTAGTTTCGTTACAAGATTATTTCCAGTGCTCTAGTGCATCGAAGTTTCTAGTTGTAAGCCTATTTTCCTTTTCGTTCGTTCATCACCAAATCTTTCAAATGAAGAATAGTTAATTAGCAGATATGAAACATTTTAATTTCAAGCTCGGTGAGAGCTTCTTCAAAGCGAGTTATGTGAAAATGCTAAGTATAATTGGAAGGGATTTTGTTTCTGCCGCCCGTATGCGAAGCGAACTTGTCACTGGCAAAGCGGCCTACTGTTATGGTCCTGCGAAATAGCTGCTACACATACATTTACTAATTCTATGTTTGCAGTTGAATCTGGGTTTCGCAGACTGTCACTGTACTAAAAAGTGGTTTCAATAACCATTTTCTGTTAGAGAAATATTGGTTTCTTCCTTTTATTTTAACCATTCGAGGAGAACAGAGAAAAATCGCTACACAAAGAATCTAGGTTCCGTTTAGCTGTGAATAAGTATAAATTTTTATTCGGTGAAAATATAAATCTTTGTTTCTTTGTAGAGTATAAACTAGAGGACAGCTTCATTGAGCGATATCTTGGTCACCTGTCTCTTATTGAAGAGAGCACCCTCATGAAGGTTACTTTTTAATGTTTTCTTTTATCTTTACAATCATCGAAGCATTAAAGCAGCTACAACATGCATGTTATAATCAATTGCAAAAATAACTGAATGGAACAAGCAAGGACCTGGAAGATTCCTCAGATCTGGCAGCAGCGAATGTTGTTTACAGCCTTATTTGGGGATCTTGAGCAGCCCTTGATACCAGTTCGTCTGTATTAATAAGCAAAGCAATAAAAAATTGACCTAAAATTGCATTTCCTGTCATTAAAAATAAGATGTTTGCATTTTGTAAGAGGTGATCTCAGACCTTGATATGTTTTAGCATTGACTTTTAAAAGCCGCTCAGCGCTTCAAATAAGATGCAAAAAATGGATGTTTATAATTCAAATAATTCTTTGCTTACTCAAAATTTTATATTGTAACCAATAAAAGGTTGTCTTGAAATTCACCATAGATGTTATTTCGATTAGAGCTTTGCAAAATGTGATTCTATGTTCACGACATTAAATTTTCCTGTAGTTAACGTGTCTAGCCGATGTAAACTTTGCTGAAAATTAAGAAATCGATTTTGTCTCTTTTGTAGCTTCGAAGAAAAGTTGCAGCAACTCACCAAGGAAAGGTATGAGCCGTGTAGCAAATAAGATTGCGTTATAAATTGTAAATCTTTAAGAAGCAGTAGGACGAAGACAGCGACAAAGCCTGTTTTGTTTACCATCATATAATCCATTATTAAAGACAGGTATCAATTGCGTATAATGGAAAGCCATAAGATATAGCTGTAGCGACTCCAAAATACTTTGAACATTGAGAAACTACATTAAGATTTAATGACTATTCTTTGTAGACTCGTTAAAAAACCTTGATAAATCAAAGTTTCTGTAATGACTGAGACTAAAGGCCGAGATACACGGTGAAATTGTTCTTTTGGACATTGGAATGCAGACAAATCAATTATTTCATTCAGTAGTGTTTCACCCTGTATACGTTGTTTCGAAAGACGTTTAAAGAGTGTGAAATACTTCCCTAAATGACTGAAATGTATTTCAGACACTTTCACATGAAAGAAATCAGCCCACTAACGTCATCCTCATATATCTTTGTCACTGTCTCTCACTGAGCTTCCTCATTCTTACGATTTTGCACCTTTTTGAGTTCCAATCTTTGTCTTTCTCTTCCTCTAACAATTTGCAGAGGTTAAACTTCAGCATGAATCATCTCAGTCTTAAATCATAAGCATAAATTATTTTTTCTCGTGTAAATTGTATCTATACCACAAGCCTGTCTGCCTATCTTTTGAATTCTTTACTACGAACAAATGCAATCTGTGAGAAATAGGCGCAGTCTTGTACCTTTATTTACTTGCTTGATGAACAGCTATGAAGAACATTTTGTGAAGCACAATTGATGTCTGATGCACCTTGCCTTTTCTTTCACAGATGCCTGATGATGCTGTAATGCTGCGATTTCTGCGTGCTAGGGACTGCAATTTAGAAAAGGTAATGTTTGAAGTGGTCTTTTTTCACCACGCAGCTCAAAATACACCATTTAGCAAACTGGATGAAGTTCATCAATAATCTTGCCAAATGGTATGAATGGACTGATGGCAACTCTAATATTGCAAATTTTGCATACACAGCCATTTATTTTATAGAAAAATACAATTTTTGTCCCATGCATTTGTCTATTTTACCTATTTCAATTTCCATGCTTTTTCAAAGAAGGTCTTCGCAAGATTTGATACATTTATTTAGATACATTTTGTTGAGATATATCATCCAGTCTCTAAATTGAAATTTCAGGATTGTTCCTCAGAGTTTGCTAGTTAATCTAAAATTTGGCTAACAGAAGCCCATGAATTTTTAGTTTTCAAACTTGCTGTTTCTTTGAAGGTTTATGTTTTATAAGACATATTTGTATTTCATTCATGTCAGTTTTGAGTCGCTAATAGCAAAATGTTCATTATAACCTAATAGCTGCTGCCTCACGTGATCACTTTTGTGAATATTCCCAGGCTTTTGAAATGTTACGGAACACTCTTCACTGGCGGCGGCAGCATCACGTGGACACTATTCTACAAACATGGAGCCCTCCTCCGGAGCTGATAGAGTATTATCCTGGTGGCTGGCATAAATACGACAAAGGTGATTCCCAGTCTTATTATTGTTTTCTTGACTGCACCTCTTTCGGGAAGAAATGAAAGGATCTAAATTGACAAAATTATTTTTGATGAAACTTTTCTTTCCCGAGGGGCAGCTGCTAACTGATTCTTGCCAAGGAAAAGCTAAAGTATTGAAACATACTTAAGCTTTTTGTTTGACATTATTTTAATGTAAGAATATGTATTCCCAGTTGTGGATCGAATAAGGCCACCCAGAAAATGCGAACACCTGACTGTCAAGGTTGCCCCCAATCAGTAAGGCTTGATCAGAAAATTTTACTAATGATGAATTCCTTGACGAATAGCTTATGTTTTAAAATTTTTGGTCTTTTTTTCAAAACCATTTTCAAATTTTGTACCACAGAATAATTGTTTGAAATTCTTTTAACATTGTTTGTACGAGCGGTAAGGCTACGCATATCAAAATTTAGGACTGTGTTTTTGTGATGTCGACCTTAACGGAGAAAAAAGGATAGGTTTACTAGGGTTTTTATTATAATTATTAGATTTGCTTTCACTGTGCGATCATCAACTAAGGAAATTGGCTAGAGTGGTAATCATTTAAATGTTATAAAAGCGTTGCTTTTTATATTTGGACACCACGAGTTATTTCATCAGTAATTTTTGTAGCATTTTTTCATAAACTCATTGCTAATATTTATTTAGGTTTTTATTTCTTATAAACTTTTAGACAGCCGACCCATCTATTTAATTCGACTCGGGACAATGGATATAAAGGGGCTTCTGAGGTCTGTTGGCGAGGAAGGGTTTGTGAAACAGGTAATTGCATTTTGACAATGTTCCTATGAAGAAAGTACCTTCTAAGACGGTTATACGCCGATATAAACGTCCGGTTTACAGGTACCCAAAGAAACTGGTTTGCTGCTCTTTTGTCTACCAATTTCCAGTCAAAATCAATTCCTACTTTTAATATTTACTAACACCAACAAGACCTTCACATACGTCAGTAATGACTGTTGAGCGTATCGTGGCTCTTGAGAATCTTTGAAATGTTTTGTTGTTTGCAAATGTCTGTTCTTTGATTTTAGGTTGTGTCAATAAATGAAGAGGGTTTAAAAAAATGCGAAGAAGCAACGCGGATATTTGGCAAGCCTGTGACGTAAGCACCTTTCTTTCAGCATACCGACCATAGTGAATAGCATAGCTTTAAGCTTAATCTCGCCAGAGACATTTTTGAGCGCGCGCTCGAAGCGCTCAAACCTACGCATGCGTACATTGGGAATGATCACGGTCGCTGCGATCAGTTTCATGTTCACTCGCACGCGTTTGAGGTCTCGTTCTCACTCCCAGGCGCTCACGCAAGAGCTCAGCCAATGAAATCTAGTGATTTAGCGCTTCGAGCGCGCTCAAAAGTGTATCTGACGAGGTTAGGCGAGTTTGAGCAGTTTAAAAAATCACTTACCAGATATTTTTATCAGCTTTATCAGGCGAGTTTCATCCTGGTCTATCTACGAAAACAAATATTTTCCGTGCCCATTGTAAACCAAATGAATTGAGAGCCCAAAATACAAAGCCCTTTTTCAAGTATTGTGCCAACTGATAATTGTTGCTCCACTATACTTTTAAATGGCAAGTTTTATATGGTATTAGAAAAGTCATTTTATAGAACTTTCTGTAGCTTTTCCTGTAGTTAATTCTCCTTGGATTATTCGTTTTTTACTATTTGTGCGTTTTTGCCCTATAGGTCATGGACGTGCCTTTGTGATTTGGAGGGGCTCAGTATGCGACATCTTTGGAGACCTGGTAAGCTTTCTGGTCCTTATGTTTTGGCTTTTGTATTGAAGGCAACTGAAAAAGCATACACCTAGGGCAGGCTTGATGTTTGGGTCCCTTCCTACACAAAGCAATAAACCTAAATAATGCGATTAATATGATTTAAAATGTTTAGTCTTTTCTTTATTTAGTTCCTTTTTATATTCATGAAGTATTGTTAAGCTTCCCCAGTACTGTTATGATTCGTAATCACCATGCTATTAGAAATCATATTTTTGATAGAAACAGTTCAAGTACCAGCGGGCCCCTTTTTGCTTACGGGCTTAGTAGAAATTTACACCCTTACCCCCTCTTGTTAGGCATGCATACAACTTGTTTTCTTCAAGAAGTTAGGGAAATTGATTTTATGTTTGTCAAAGGTTTTTCTATACTTGCCTGGAGGATTTCGTATCTCTAATTATTTTTATACCCAATCATAACGCTAAAACTTTGCCTTTATAATTAAGATTAGGCCATTTAGCATGGGAACAATGTAGGGGAAGTGGCTAGTGAAATTTTCTGAAAATTTCCTTTTTATTCTTTGAACAGAATTGTTTATTTGAAGTTTTTGCATATTTTTATTAAACTTTTTAGGCGTAAGAGCGATGCTGAATATCATAGAAGTAGTTGAAGCAAATTATCCCGAAACTATTGGACGTTTGTTGCTTGTCAGAGCACCTCGTGTGTTCGGTGTTGTGTGGACGCTGCTCAGTCCGTTCATAGACGAAAACTCAAGAAAGAAATTCTTGATTTATAGCGGCAACGATTACCAGGTAGGTTTTATCTGGTCGAAGTTATCACATTCGGGGCTTCTTTTCTGGGTTCTTTTTAGCCGTTTGAAAGCAAGCTATATTTGAATACAGTTTTTGTTATTAGTAGTAAATCTTTAGCTGGTAACATAGGCAAAGCTACTTATAAAAGACTGACCAGAGAGACTTGAAAGGGGGAGAGGGTAGGGGTGGTAGGTCGGGGTTCGGTGGGGTTGGTTTAGAGCCAAACCAGATTAAAATAAAAATCGGCGGTTGTATGGTTTATGACCTCGAGAAAACTATAGAACTCCGTTTCCACCCCCGATCGTGGCCTTTTTCATTGCTTTCCGAAGAAGGTTTAAGGTTTTTAGCTTATTAGCTGGGAGGGGGATGGGCATATTTCTGGATTCTGGACAAAAGGAAATCCCCATACATTTTTGAGTCCATCGTACAAAAGTCTTTTTTGAAGTAAATCATGTTATCAATACTAGGCATTTTTCTTCAAAGCTTACTATCAACTCTCGGAATTATCTTTGATCTTAACCTAGCAAAGGGATGTTACGTCTGCAATATGGATACATTAAACCCCTTTTCATCACAAAAGAATCGTTGTTATTTTTATAAAATCATAATTTAGAGGTCAAATCACATTTATATGCGAGATACATTTCTCCCAACCGTTCGGACATAACTTTTTACCTGTTATATCCTTCACCAATAAATCTTTTTGTTATAATCTTATATTTTTCTAGGGTCCTGGAGGACTTGCAGACTATATACCTGCAGAATATATTCCTGGTTTTTTAGGAGGAGATTGTGAGGTACGAGTTTATATTTTAAAAATGCGTGCAAAACAAAGTCTTGTTCCTGTTTAATTGAAAACAGGCTTAATTGTACATATTTATTAAACATCAGTTCTTTTAGAATCCGAACATGTTAAGTTTAATCGTCGTTCTTAAAACGAGTTCTTGCTTTGTTTAGAAATTTGTCAGTTTCTCTAGGTGAAATTTTATTTATTATTAACTCCTTTGTGAAATAGGAAGGTAGAAAAGTTAATTTTGGCGTTGGAAATCAGAACCTGAAATAATTTTCACGCTAAACGATTGCTGGTTTTGAACTGAATTTTATCTAGGACTGTGGAAGGCGCTGATTGGTCACAACAAGCCAATCCAATGAGTCGTTTTCTTTGTTTTGATTTTTGGCTAGGGAAATTTTCATACCATAGTTTGTTGGTACCGCAAAATTTGAAGATGACACGAAACAGCGGAAGCATTGCACACTGTAGTACTTTGGTACGACACTCTTCAGAATATAAACATCAAATAATGGCCGGAAGTAAGCAGAAAATTTATACCCAGGTGGGGATCGAAAACAACGTGAGAGGAAGAGGGGAACATCTGATTGTTTCTTTTGTTTTTTATGTCCGCAAGAGATGGAAGTGATACTAGTACTTCAGTATGCGATGTGTCCGTTATTTGGTGATATCTCCAAGTTTTCTTACTTCCAAAAATTCTAGGATTCACAACGCTCCAAGCGAGAACGACTCACGGTTATTTCAGACACCTCCAATTTAGAAAAGTTAAACAAGCCACTTCCAAATATTCTGTCCTACAGTCAAAGAAATTTATTAGCAAACAGTTGACAACGGCCACTCCCTAGCAACTGAAAGTAACTCACGAATGTCTACTTAATGTAAGTTTGATTTTATGGTTGTATTCTAAACAGAAGCCAGCTTGTTGGGTTGGAAATTATAGTACTCTCTTGGATTTTTTGCACCAGACCACGACGCCTGGATCCTCTTAAAGCACACAGAACAAATGTATATTTCTTACCGTTATTATTACTCATCACTTCGTCGTTTTTTTGCAGTGTGACGTGGTGGAAGGAAAAACGGTTCCTAAAGCATTTCACAGATTTCACAACATTGGCGAAGGAGGCGAGTCAAGTTGGCTTGGGTCCGATTTATATCAGACTGCACAAGTACTGAAAGGTTCTCCTCACGAGGTAATAACCTGTTTACTTATACTTGTGTGTCTTATTCTGATATCTAACCACGGCATTCGTGCAATTAAGACTCCGTTACAGTTAGAGACTTATGTTACCCTATGGATAGAAAAAAAGACCTTTCACCCCTTTAAGTACTGTTTTTTGTGACAGCTCGGGTGGATTCAGATTTCGATTAAACTCCCGCAACGATTGTTCTGGATTTGACAACAAGGGATGGAGGCTCTTTGCCCATCAAAGTTCAATGTATTCATTGAAATTCACAACAGACAAACGCTATACTCAATCTTGTCGTTTAACGATAGTTTTTCTGATTGTTTAAAACTTATAACGTACATCTTTTGGATGCTTCTTGGATGTGAATGTTACCGTGGCAATTGTACGGCGTCTCACCTTATCTCAGGATACGTTTTCTTTAACCCAAGATTATGAAAAAGGATTTTGTCTGAATCATCCCTACAGTGAGCATTCTGCAATGAGTTTAAAATTTTTTGGATCATCGTTTCAAAGTATATTATCGTACATTTTATCGTATCGTACATATATATAAAATTTATAACTTACATCTGTTGGATGCTTCTGTGATGTGAATGTTACCGTGGCAATTAGGCTCACACGGCGTCTCACCTTATCTCAGGGTACGTTTTCTTTAACCCAAGATTATGAAAAAGGATTTCGTCTGTATCATCCCTACAGTGAGCATTCTGCAATGAGTTTAAAATTTTTGGATCATCGTTTCAAAGTATTTTATCGTATCGTACATATATATAAAATTTATAACGTACATCTGTTGGATGCTTCTTGGATGTGAATGTTACGGTGGCAATTAGGCTCACACGGCGTCTCACCTTATCTCACGGTACGTTATCTTTGACCTAAGATTATGAAAAAAGGTTTTGTCTGTATCATCCCTACAGTGAACATTCTGCAATGAGTTTAAAATTTTTGGATCATCGTTTCAAAGTATTTTATCATTTAACTTTCGCGTACTCCTTTGAAGGGTAAAAATAGACAGCTTTTTATTTGAACTATAGGTTATGATAACAGTATCTGAGGCCGAATCAGTAATCACATGGGATTTTGACGTCATCGATGGTGACACAATGTTCACAGTTCTGAGACATAAGAGACCTCGTGAAGCAAGCCTTAATAACGTCACAACTAGTGGATGTCTCGGAGAATCGATGACATCGAGATTGTCAGGAATAAGGCCTGGTATTGATGCTGTTGTTGTTGAACGACCAATTCTTTGCACGCAAGGAGAATCCGTCCAAGTAAGAAACCAGTGAAATATTTACTATTCACGTATAATATTATCATCGTTGCCCGTTAATCCTGAATAGCACGGAGAAGTTGAAAAATCTTGTTGATTCATTGAAATCTGTTTCATTCAACATTCAGATATCAATGTGATGTTTAACGAAAGGAGTGTTTCAAAATAAACTATGCGTATTAATTTTTGATTCAGGGTATTCTTCTGTGGCCGTTTTTCTTAAGTGTTCCAACCCTTATTGACACTTGAATTTTGCAGATTTTGTGCCACTTTCTTCAAATTTGGAAAGTTGTGTGGTTTTCAAAAGCCCCTTTGAGTAATCCAGGATTAGTCTTTGTAGCAAACCTATAATGTTTTTTGTTGCAAGCCAGGTTTATTCTGGAAACGACAACTTTCTTGTCCCTTCAATGAACGTGTCTGTTCTAATAAGTGATGCTATACAGGGTTGCGCCAGGGGAAGGCTAAGCAGCCATTTTCCACCTTACGGAGCATAAAATCAATCTCTTTTTCTTGGGGGCAGGACAGAATTCTTTGCTTGTACCCAGGGTTTTGTTGCTATGAAAAGCACAAAGAAGGTCAAATTGGAAAATTTCTCCAAAAATTAGCAAAAAGCAAAGAAAGACTATTTTTTGGCATTCACAAGGGTGGCTGAGCCCCCTGCCCTCCCTAAGCTGTTCATTTCTACGTTAACCTTCTTGTTGGAGTGGTAAGCCCCCTTTCTGGGAATTCCTTATGCTACCCATAACAATATGGTTGTTACCTATGCCTTTTTTACGCTTCAAGCTATCTAGTGCTTAATACAACGATTCTCGAACCGTAGGGTACGCACATATGCACACAGCCTGGGGTGTTTATCCTTCAATGGAAATACTCATCACAGACAACCCCCTCAAGAGGTGCCCCAAGAATCATGCACAAAACCAAGGTTATGTTCTACTACGAAATTCTACCGTCACGCGAGTTCAGGTAAGTTTTGATATTCTGCTTTTTAGGAAAATTTTGCTATTCTTGGGCAGACCCGTCCGAGAGGGGGAAGATTGTCCCAGGTACCGAGCTGAGAAGGGCCAAAAAGGTCGAGTCAAAGTTCCTAACAATAAAAACAATTGCAATCAAAGTTTTATGACGTCACCACGGCCCCATCTTTATTTTTGCTCCAGGCCTCAGAAAGCTCTCGGTGGGTCTGTGCTTGAATAACTTGCATACGCAGTGTTCGGCCGCCCTGTAGGTCTCGCAATGTGTTGGTTCATTTTCAAAAAAAGTAATTGGGATGTTTCAGCAATGACGTTGTAGTTTTTTGCTTCAACAGACCTTAATTATTGCCCGTGATGATGTGTAAATTTGTCGTCTGCTTACATCTAAGTGCACTCCTCTTAATAACGGAACTCCTCTCGCTCTCTCTGCATTTATTATGATAATTTTTAACAGCTAACCACATACAAGGGCTTGCACAACAAACTGTATAACACAAATTTGTCTCTTACTGCTCTTTGAAACTCTACTTATCTTATGCTGTTACCTAATCGATAATTGCTAATGACATCTAAGGGTGTGCATGGGGAGGGGGGAGTAATGGACAACCTTGATTGATACAAGTTGATAGTATCAAGAAGTATGACAAAGTTAAGGAGGGTTTCGTGCTTTCAAAAACCTGTCTTACCCCCTGATGATTTTGCATGTCACATCTTTTCTTGTTTGTTGATCATCATCAGGAAATACAGCATGTTTGGAATCTCTAGCAATAATTCGGATTTTAATGAAAATCTCCTCGCAAGCTCAAAGACTAATCGGTAAGAGTTATGTTTATCGATGCACCCAACGAAACCCTGTACACAGTAACGTACATCGTAACTCGAATCTTACAGTTCACCTAAATCTACATCAAGTATTTTTAGACAGGGTGTTTATCGACGCACTCAACGAAACGCTCTTCGCCCAGGCTACCGATTGTTACAGACCCTATTGAAAGCCAGCTAAGTTTCATGGTCATCGCTGCCTCAATAAGCAATATTCTCAAAACGATTTCCTAAAAAGCTACTTAAAATGATGAAGGACAAGTATAGAAAAAACATTTGTACCAGCTGACGCATATTTTCAACGTGTGTCAGGAAATGTACAGTACTTTGTTTATTTGGTGAACTGTCATCAATCAAGTTGTTTTATTTCTATAACAAATTAAGGATTTAATTGCCCATTAGTAACTGTTACGATATCAATGACATTAAAGAAATGATTATTACTATATAATTACACACCTGATGACGCTAACGATTAACCAATTAACTTTTTCATCCAATTAAACTCACATTTTTCCAATACCTGCTATTAATCTAAATCTCCTTTCAAGAATTCTCTTTCTGATGTTGCTTGGTGATCTGTTCAAAGGGGAGCCGTGTCATCTCCCGTCGAATGACTCCCGTACTAGCGATTGCCACAGAAGTGTGAATCTACTCGTAGCATATTTCTAGCCTAAAGCCTAGCGCACATCGCAGATTTTTGTCACACAATAAACGAAGATTTTTATCTTTTGCAACAAAAATCTGTAGTGTGTAGGGTCAAAGTCGAAAGATTTTTGTCTTTTGCGATAATCTTTGAGATAAAAAACTTTTTATGTTTGCCACCAAAGACAAAAGTCATGCAGTGTATGGAGTCAAAAGACAAGCTTTTCATTCTGAAAATCAAGCAAATGTATATTTTTAGATCACGTGACTTGTTTGAACTCTTTCCCGCTAGCACATCGTTCACTGGAAAATCATAGCGAAGAAGGGGAAATCTGAAAACAGTCGTGGTGTGTGTGGACAGAAAGTTATTTCGAGTTGCGACAAAAATCTGCTTTTTGCGCTAGTCGTTACTCAAGGCAAATTGCCACGATTTCTTGTTCTGATATCTGAGATTCAGTGAATGTATAGCTTAGATTTGTGAGATAAAGGTCGGACAAAAATACTATATTTCATGACCTTGGTCAAAGGATGGCAACGATACGGGGCCATGGACAAGCCCGTCCATCCCTCTGCTTGGCATGCTCTTTTAATTGCTTGTCCTTGCTTGCAACCGCTGCTGTTGGAATGAGTTATTGCTTGAAAGATAACCCCAAACAACATAATTGTACCAAAGATAGCTGTACAAATATCTACATAGCCTTAATAGACTGAATAGAAGGATGTTTTTCAGCTATTTCAAGGAGCTCAAGCTCTATTCTGTTATTCAATTCTGCTGAAGCTTGGTTTTACTACTCTAGGATTTTACCCATTTTCAGTGGCCTCTTCTCCCCCTTTCAGCCCCTCGGCGTTCTCCTATTAATGATAGTAAACTTAGCAACCAGCACTTTTCAAAAGAATGTTTTAGCTAAATTGTGTTCCAAAACCTTTTTGACCGAGTTTTAGGGTCAGCTATGCAATACTGTTATGTTGTCATTTTTGTTTTCATTTTCGTCACACTTTGTTTTTGCAAGATTTTAGAATACAAATTAAGTTTGAGCAGTTTAAGAAAGTTTTTTCTTAAATTCATAATCCATAAGACTGTATTATCACAACGAATTGGCTCGAGAATTCTTTATCAAATTATAGTTACACTACTCAATCATTAACGTAGGATCGTCTCGATTGTTAAGCTTTATTTTGCTCCAAATCTTTGTAAAGCGATCTCTTATCAGGATAGATCAGACCTTTCAGCTCTAAGCTAAGCTTTTTAGACATTTTTTCTCTATTTTTGTTTCATTGTAACTCCAAGTGAGGATTGAAATGAGAAAACTAGATTAAATATCAAACCAAGACGGAGCCATTAAAATGAACTCTGGAGTTATGGTTCTGATAAATATTGCTTTAAAGGCAGGTTATCTTTTAACAAAATGTTACAAATTGCCGAAATCTGGTAAATAGTGTTTGCTGGTTTGCTAGCTGTGAAGGAAAGCCGTCCAGGCAATGAATGACAAGCTCAGAGTGTTGTCAGAAAAAAATAATTTACGTGTTTATGAAATTGGGTAAGTTACAATGCCCCTCTGATCCTGTGTATAAAATCTGGTCAAAGCTCGACCACTTTTTGGTACAAATGTACTGTTGCATGAATAGCATACAACCTTTAATGAGGTAAAAGTCATATGAACAATTATAATACATAGTTAATAAGTCCCTACTTTGCGGACTTTCTACCAGGTTGCTAAGTCTGTAATTGATTACACTAACATTTGATAAAACATGTAAATGTTTGAAAAATGTGTCCCCCCCCCCCAAACACACGCGGGCTTCTTTTTTCTCTACTCGAAACCGTCAACTAACAATATTATTTACTTTTCATATGGTAGTTGATGATAATCGTATTGTAACTTTAAACTCTTTTCGTTTGCAGAGGCTCAATGTCAAGTTTGGAATCGAGTCAAAGCGCTTTCTCGCAGTTGAGTATAGGCACAGCAACAACCTTGTCGTCAGGTGCCAGTGCGGCTACGAATACTTCTTCAGTCTCAAGGTAGCAGCTCAGTAATTAATTCAAGTTCTCACTGCGTTTTGCCTATCTTTTGTACACCGTAAATTCTAGTGTCATGGCGAATACTTAAATTCAAATCGTTTGTTTGATTTGCTGCCATGGTTTAATTTCCACCTGGCCTTTCTTTTTCGACAATCTTTTAGAACAAATCCAATTAAAACAAGAATAGATTGGACTATTAACCCACCATCTTTTATTTCTGTTTCTAGTGGGCTTATTTCGACCGATATTTATTAAACTATTATTGCAAAATAACATATCCCAATTGTTCCAAGGGTAGTGGATTCAAGTATTAGAAGATACTACGAATGTAATCTTATGTCATTTACCAAAACAAGTGCTACTAGGTTTAAGCCTTGTGGGAGCTAGTTCAAAACGTTCCCAGAATACTTTTGTTCCAGCAGGAAGATCATCTGCCCTCTTCTATTACTCTTAATACTTGAGTTAATCGACTCCGATTCTAGCCAAAACCGAAAGTCTCTATCACATGAGTTTAATATCACGATACTGAAGAACTTTAGTATAAATTCAACAAAGTTATACAGAGTTACTCTTAACGTATATATAAATATATAACATTAATAGTTACTTTATATACGAACAGTATATTGCAAGTTAAAACAGTTATTTTGAGTCGTGGACTCTCATTTAATGATCATAATGGATGCTGGGGACAATAGATAATAACTACTTGATGGAGTGTTTGCACTGTCGTCCGATGGAATGTTTACATTGGCATTTTTATATAAATTCCTGTTTGAGATTTAGATTCATCTAGTATTCGTAAATTCTACCTTTTGAAAACCTCGTCTTTTTTATGATAATTATAAATGCATTTGAAGTTTCCTCGTTTCTTAAAAATTGATAAATTCTTGCTTTAAATTGTTCTTTTACATCTTCAATGCTCGTGTTAGCTGTTTTCCGTAATCCCTAATAGTTATATTGGGTCGAAAAGAAACAGTTTAATAGAAACAGTCTGCTACCGGCTACAGGAAAAGTCTGAACCGTCTGACACGAGTTTTTCTGGAAATGAAATATGTATTGAAAACGCTTCTTTGTCAAATGACCTAGCTTTTCGTCGTATATGAACATCTACGTGGCTTAACACTAGAAATGCTTTAAGCATCGCCAGGTTATAGATTTCTGTGGCCTCGCAGTCACTTTTTCATTGCTATAGTTACAACACCATTCAAATGCGATAATGTTGAGGGTATTTTAAATGGTCGTTGGTATAGCAAACCTAATTTTGTTTGCTCGTCGTCTAAGCAGAGCCACTTTTGTTTGAGTGTGCTAAATTCACGAAAGTTAGGTGCCACGCCCTTTTATGTACAATGACATTATTCATAAAAAATAAGGACTTTGCCGGATTTGAGGGTCGTTAAAGGTCCATATTATTGAGTAACAAATTTTAGAATGAGTAGCATTGCTTAGCCTCACTAAATCTGAATCATGCCCCCATTTTTCCGGCAAATTATACAGCTATGTTGCAAAATGTTCTGACTTTAATTTGCAACCCCCCCCCCTCCCAACTTTCCAACTTGTGTCAGAGCCCCTGTAAGAGATACGGGGTCTACAACGTCATATTACGAAATACCACGTCTTATTACGAAAGAGTAACACTTCTAAAGTATCATGTTTTGAACGAGTTTGAATCGTTTATTAGAACTGAGATTTGTTATCAAATAATCAAGGCAAACTAGTCGGGTTTTCATTTTACTTCGTCTATGTTTGCATTCTAAGTATATTTGACTTTTTTAAAATGACAATTTAACAATTTAATATTCATAACTTATATTTCTTAAGCAGCATTGATGACAAAATATGTTTGAAAACCTAAATTAGAGTGTATCTTAGTAAAGCAATGTTTTTAGAGAATGTAGATGTCGAAAGCCATACTGGGATTTAGCTATGGCTTGTTACCCTGGGTACAAGAGCCTCAAGAAACTTGTAATAAAGTTTCGGAACTATATTTCTGTGACTAAATTATGGATACTCTGGCACCCAGGGTAATGGCTTGTATTCTGCGGCCCAATAGCCTCTTCTAATATTATAATTGTTATTAATTTGCTTCTAGATGTTTGTTGCTCCGAAAAATATTCGATATAATAGGATCACTTATATTGTTGTGCTAATTTACAGGGGTTCAACTGTGCTACAATATCATTGTTTTACCTCTTCTTTCTGTCTTGGAACTCGTTAATAGCATGTTCCATATGTTAAGAGAAACCCAAGGCCACTTCGCATGTTTTTCATCCTTTTTGTCGCCCATACTTAAGATATTTCAGACAACATCATATCTCCAGTCTTTATTCTTGTGTGACTACCTCGCTACTGAGCCCATACATTTATTAAAAGTTTCCAGAAAAAGAAAATGGAAGAAATAACTTCCCGAAGATACTCAACAAGACACTTTCAAAGAAACTTTGTCATTATCTTTTGGTAGTCCGTTTCTGAGTTGGAAATATTCCCAGATTTCTTAATCACATATCTTTCTCGTTAAGCTGTAGCCACGTATCGTATTTATTTTTTATCAGTATTTTATGTCCATTTATGTTGTTGTTGGAAAAATGAAATGATAACCATGATCAAAGAAACAAGAGAAGAAGTTTTTGTTTTGCCCTGACACCTCCTTGAAAAGTGATTCGACTTGCACCTCTAGTCATTTCTGTTTTGGGAGCAGGAATTGAATATTTGATGATTTTGAAATACTTTCCTATGTTACTTTTGAAATATGAGAAAATGGTAAGAGATCATCATAAAATAATGACATCCTCCCTTATAAAGCCTTGTTCCTTACAGATTTCTATTAGAGAGTGCGATTCTGTTAGGTGTGAACAGATGAAATGTAGAAAATTAAAAAATTTGGATGATTTGGCTGTATCGGTCATATCCTATGAAACAGGAAAGGGTCTAGGACAATCCTTTGAGGAACTTATACGTAGAAGCGTAGAAACCATATAGTATTTGTAGGTTATTACAACCTGTCACGTGACTGAATGATTGCCGACGTGATGTATCTCAATATACTAAAATCCTACTATGCAAATTAGCTTCGAAACAACGAATGTGCTACTATGCAAATGAGGGGCACGGAAATCTGCACACGGTCTGACCCACTCGACGCCTCTTCGAACGAGATCGGTTTCGAGGCCTCCTCGAGACGTCCCGCTTTTTCCTCCGTTCGATCCCGTCCGTCGACGTGAGTCTGCAGCTGGCCTTCGATTTTCGATTTGGTCCCGTCTTCCTGCCTGAAAATCCTCGAAACAAACTTTTTTTGGGCGGAAGTTGCTTTGCTTGCGGATCTGATTGCCTCTCCGGAGAAAAGGTTAGGTCGGGTCGTTAAGCGTGTTAGGCTTTGTCAGCGAGGTCGTTAAACGCCACCTCTTTGTGCGGAGAAGCAATTAAGTGCGGGATCCTCAAGTCTCTGCGAGCTTCGATTTCCTTTGCAAGAAAACCTTGCTGCGTCACAGCTCGGTTCTCCCTTCTGGATGGAAGTTTCGATTCGAGGTTTTTTTGGAATCGAAACAGCTCGCTTGCGACACCTTTCTCCCAAAAGCTCGAGACCGTACGAGCAAAAGTTATGATTGTCATGATTATCTCATTGTTGTTGCTTAAACTACTAGGCACTCACATGGTTATCATGGTCTTTTGGCGATGCGTTCCGATGACGTAGCGATTTGCATTGTTGCAGGGACAGTTTTTTTCCCGGTAACTGAAAAATTCCCTTTTATGGAGGATTGATTGATAAATTACTGTGCAATTTGTGTCAGAACAGTCTCAACTGGATAAAAGCATGATAAATTGTCGCAAAGATCATTTTCCAGCCAGGTGCATTTTAGAGCACACGGTTGGAAAGAAAGGTTTGGAAAAAGAAGTCGACATGTTTCTCACAATGGACCCTTGATTTTGGACGCAATTTTCACTGTGAGTATTGTTTATTCTTTTCGCTTATGTTTCTGTACCTTGCCCTGCCATTTTTCTAACAAAACGCCCTGCCCCTACCGCGAAATATTTAATAGTCGCCCCTTTATTGAATACTATGTTTCTTCTGTTGCTCTTTTATTAGCTACAACATTGAATTTACCGTCTGTTCTTCTGCTCTTTTTGCAGGACAGTGTCGAGAACACGATTTGAATACCTTTTCTAAATTGAATATTCATCAGGTTAGTGCGTTTGTTTTCGGGGTTATTTTCATCCCTTAGAGGTATTTTATATTTTATTATTTATCAATTTGTGCAACGAATTCTCAGCGAATTGTAACGCCTAGATTCAGGAAATTCAAACTTTATAGGACAGTTTTGCCTGACGAGTTGCGAACGACGATCAAGCTACGCCCCCTTTGTGATGTGACCCCATTGTCTGCAAGGTCGTTATTGGGGAAACTTTTCGTGAGTGCGGATCGTTAACGATCATTAGTGACGCACCGATTAGGAACCTTGATCTTCGATGTCGACATTTGATTTTGGTAAACTTGCTGCGTCACAGTTTTCATATCGGTTATTCTTGGATTTTTTGCAGGACATTCCCGTGGCAGATTGACCAAAGTATTGTAAAAGATATTCTCATCCAGCTTCATCACACGGTAAGCGATTTTTGATATCAAAGATCTCTTCGTGTTTTACTTCGTTTATACTCAAATTTTGTTTGCCGTTTCTTAGATAAATATGCTGAATGAATTCTAAACGAAATGCCAAGTGTTCATTTAGGAAAATTAAATTTTTCAATAAAGTTTTTCATGTGTTGCGAAAGCCGGTGAAGTTACGTCCCCCTAATCCCTTCGCGATTGATTGATTGCATTCGCGATTTTGTTTTCGGGTTATTTTCAGGCCCTTTTGTCTATCTACGTTTCAAGATAGAGGTATTTTATTATTTATCAATTTGTGCAACGAATTCTCAGCGAATTGTAACGACTAGATTCAGGAAATTCAAACTTTATAGGACAGTTTTGCCTGACGAGTTGCGAACGACGATCAAGCTACGCCCCCTTTGTGATGTGACCCCATTGTCTGCAAGGTCGTTATTGGGGAAACTTTTAGTGAGTGCGGGTCGTTAACGATCATTAGTGACGCATCGATTAGGAATCTTGATCTTCGATGTCGACATTTGATTTTGGTAAACTTGCTGCGTCACAGTTTTCATTTCGGTTATTCTTGGATTTTTTGCAGGACATTCCCGTGGCAGATTGACCAAAGTATTGTAAACATATTCTCACCCAGCTTCATCACACGGTAAGCGATTTTTGATATAGAAGATCTCTTGGTGTTTTACTTTGTTTATACTCAAATTTTGTTTCGCGTTTCTTTATATAAATACGTTGAATGAATTCTTAACGAAAAGCCAAGTGTTTATTTAGAAAAATTAAATTTTTCAATGCAGTTTTTTGTCTGTTGCGAATGCCGGTGAAATTACGCCTCCTCCTAACCCTTGCGATTGATTGATTGCTTTCGCGATATTTTCTAAGAATTTTTGCTGCCCCTTTTTGTTTAAATATTCATGCTACACCCTTAGTGACAAGATTTAGTAGAGTTTTTGTAAACTTCATGTTGCTTTCATCGTGGTATAGAAATTTAATAACTTTTTCAATACATTTTTCCATCTATTGCAAATGCCGGTGAAGTTACGCCTCCCCTAACCCCTCACAGTTGATTGATTGCTTTTGCGATATTTTCATGGATTGGAAGCTGCCCCTTTTTGTCAAAATAATCATTCTGCTCCTTTTTTGTACGTGTTTTTCTACCGCTTTTAGACCAATTTTATTTTACAACTGCTAAGCAATTTTTCCAGCCATTTCCATTTCGACATGGAAACATGCTTTAATGAATTGTTTCTACGCGTACACTAGCGCTGAAATTTAATAACCATTATTCCTCTTTTTTTCAGGGCATTTGCGAGACGTTTTGACACCACGATTTGAATGAAAGACATTTCTTCTTTGGCCTTTGTTTCGTTATAATTTGATTGATTTAGAGGATCTTTGTATGTTTATTGTAAAGTTGAAGGATAATTCAAGATTTTGCATCCTGCTCTCAAATAGTTTCAGCGATTGATAGGACCCCTATTTCATAGATTTTCATACCCTACTTCCAATTGGATTTTTACGAGGATGTTTATGAAACACACGGTTCCCTCATTGTACTTTTACAGAGTTTGCCCCCTATGCGTTATAAACATCTATTAGATTTTGCTTTAAATGTGCTATTTAACTTTGGAGGATCCTCAACTCTAGCCATTTATTGTTACCAATCTTGCAATTGGTTTTTTACGAGGATGTTGGTGAAATACACGCCTCCCTCATTGTGATATATTTGAGGGTTTGCCTCATATATTTTGAAAACATCAGATTTTAGATTTTGCTTTAGTTATGAATTTTGTTTTGAGGATTCTCAACTCTAGGGTTGGCTCACCAATAGTAACTATTAATTGTTGTTGTTTTCAAAATTAGCAAACATTTTGATAATTATTATGATGATGAAGTAGATATTTGTTTTTCTGCTAGAAATCTGCCATTGAACACAAATTAGGATAGTTGATAATCAGTCAAGTTTTATAGCATGATAAAAAGTCCTCAAAAATGAAACATTAGTGGAACTATATATATTCTCTCTCGGCAATATTTTAGACACAGGTATTAAGTAACATTCATATAAAGATTAATTTATTTTCAAATTTGGTCGGGGTGAAGAGGAAATAGATAAATGACTTTGCTGGATGCCTCTTCGTGAAAATATCGAAATTTGAGCTTCTCCATATAAAATGGAGGTCCGGGGCAACCAAAAAACAAGTCTATTGCTTTACCAAATTTGAAGGCCTCATGCATTGGTATTAAAATGTCAAAATGAGGCGGAAACGCCCGAGCTGATATTAACACACCACCTAGCAACAATGAAATCACGTGATTTGAATCAGAAAGGAAGATTCTGTTAAAAGTAGCTAGATATATGTGAACTGTACCAAAAATAGCGTTATCATGATTATAAAAATCTCGAAAAATCATCTGACCTATAGACAATTAATTGACAAGGTCATAGTAGTACATTTAAAACGAACACCACCAACCTCTCCAACAGTTGAATGGTTACCAAATTGCTTTTATTTGGCAAATAAATTAATTAATTGAGTCCTGGATGATAGACCTACTTATAATACGTACAGTAACAAGGTTCCCACATTAAACGCAATAATTAGGCTAGGCTAACCAGGCTCGCAATTTAAGATGCCTGGGTATTGTCAGAAATTGTAATATGAAAGAACCATTTCCACAACATCAAACCTACTGTGCACGTGAAGAACGTTGAAGCTACCAATAAATATCGTTTAATTGCCTAAAAATAAACTACAGAATGTTTGAAGCACACGGAAACAGCAAAATCACACCTTTGATAATCTACTGAGTTATTGATTTAAACTTTAACTGCTCTCTCACGCTTTTCCTTCACCAATTTAGCAACCACCTTCACTCTAATAACAAATTATGTAAAAAATCCTTCCCTAATACTGCAATTTTTCAATAATGTCCTTTCGCCTCAGAAAACATATATTCTCCTGTCTTCTGAGACTCATTTCAAGTTTCTCTCAAAATGGCAAACGAGCAGGCCCC